CAGTTTATGTGACCACTTTTTATCACATAGTTTCATCGTGAGAAGCTGGGAAACAAGGGCTATTCGAGACACTGCATTATAAATGAATGTTAAAGAATCAGTAAATTAAAGTGAAAATAAAGGCTACATTAAAGCTGCTGTAAAACGTGTTAAAAATCCCTTAGAAATATTCATTGAAATATGTGTCATTTGCAGCAACCGATGCCTGATTTATAGACAAATGAGCAGGTGGATTTCAATGATAAAAAATTATTTAATGGGTATCAAAAATGGCAACCCTCCTTGCCAACAAAAATTATAACAACTTATGTACTGTTTGCCAAATTTCAACAAATAATATTTGATGATGTATGATTGACTTTAAGACACATAGAAAATTTTATAGACATCATATCGGGAGTAATTTACACTGTTTTTAAGAAACGTTTGACAGTAAATAAGCTCGGTACTCAAAGGTCACCCTATATTTTGTAAAATGAGTGAAAACGACAGCGTGTACGAAAGTCTTAACAATTATTTTAAGATATCTGTAATTGTAGTTATCCACGTTTGTTTTATATTCAAACAGATATTGGAACATGAATCTATTGCTTACAATCATCAAAACAAAATTTACCATAAGATGTACTTCATATAAACGGCGAAGGTCTGACAAAAGCAAAGGTATGCAAGAGCACAAAGACAGATTTATATGCAATCTTTTAAAATATAAGTGGTATTGTTGTTCAAATTCGTATTCGGGGAGACGGTATAATATCTGGAGGAGTCTAGAAAAAAAAATTTTGCAAAAAAAAATCGAAAGGTTTATTAGAGGAAGGACCCAGAATCAGAAATCCACCACATTGAATTTCTTCATGACAGCGTCCAAACCCGCATGCCCTGAAGAGTAGAGGAGTTTTCGGGATAAACAGAAAGTTAATGTTTTTTCACATTAACAATATTTGCCAGATCTTTGACCTTTTGACTTGTTTCTATTTCCAAATTTGAAAAAAAAAAACCTCTCAGAAGAGAAAAACAAGTCCAGGAAATCATTGGATCTTCCAATTTCCAGTATACTAAGGGTCATACCCAAAAATGAGTTCTAAAAACTATCAGTAATTGGATGAAAAATGTTACGGAAATGTGTTTGAATTAAATGAGATTAATAAGTAAAATCATGAAGACTTAACCATTGAAAAGCGTCGTTTCCTTCTTTCTGAGCACCGAGGACATTATTTATTGAATAGCCCTCGTAAATCTCATTTGTCTGTCTGTCACAAAAACTTTAACCTTGCCCATCACTTTTGATTTAGTGGAACTATGACTTTCATATTTCAAATGTGTATTCCTTGCGACAAGACCTTTCGTTGGGTACATGTACCACCAAATTTCACCTTTTGAACTTGACCTTGGAGTTTGACCCCTTTTTCACACAAAAATTTTAATTTTTACTCGGGTCACAGCTTTTGAATGGTAGATACTAGGGCTTTTACATTTTACATATGTATTCTTTGTGGCAGGATCTTTCATGAGATATCAACAGCTTTGACCTTTTGACCTTCACCTTGAAGATTTCCGTACTTTTGAAAAAAACTTTGGCCATAACTTTAAATCGATAAGGGCCAGGGCTTTCATACTTCACATATGTAAGCCTTGTGAGAAGTCCTTTCATGGAATAACAAGAACTTTGACCTTCTGACCTTAACCTGGGAGTTTGACCTACTTTTTAAAAACTTTAACCTCGGTCATAACTTTTGAAGGGTTAGGGCTAGGGCTTTCATACTTTACATAAGTAATCCTTGTGAGAAGACCTTTCATTGGATACCAAGAACTTTGACCCTTTTACCTTGACCTTGGAGTTTGACCTACTTTATAAAATTTGGGTACCAATATATTTAATTTGCATTTAAGAAAAGTTTAATCTTCGCTTTGTTGCCATACGGGGTCACCAGTCTTTCAAAAACACATTTTGTTCCTTTTAACTTTTAATTGAGAAGAGATAGGGCTTTCATAATCCTCGGCCTTCACTATTGACCTTATTATAAAAAATATCAACTTTGATGATAATTTCTAAATGACATATAATATTATATGGCGTTCATATTTAACATCTCACCCACAAAGACACCGAAAGCGGGGGACCACAATTCTTTGAATTTTTTATTCTAAATCGTCAGGCAGAGGCCAATGAAGATTGGGACCATTATCGATACCCTCCTTCTTATGCCATGCAGAGGATGGTCTTAATATTATCACCAGAAACTGACTTGGTGAGGTCTTCAGATGGTGGTGCATTGAGCTTCGAATCCACGAGTAAGGATCAAAATTAAAGAAATGGGAAAGATAGCAAGCAGATCACTTGCTTCGACTTTACATGCATGTACAATTTACTAGCTAATGACATATATCTCAATTCCTATATCGAAGACAGTGTATGAGCTCATTTTGAGGTGTACTTCTAAATCCAAAATGTCATTTGTTATTCCAACTGAAGATTGGTTTTACACTTCCTTCATTTTTCTTGTACAAGTACTCAATCAGACATCACTTAAATCATATTTAGTAATTTTAGATAAAATCGAGGTTCTGGACACGTATCTTGAGAATTTTTTTTTTTTTTTTTTTTTTTTTTTTTTTTTACAATTTCAAATGCATGTGTTCCTTGGCAGCTATGACGTAATTTTATCTATAATTTTGAGACTTTTTAAAAAGTAAAATTAGATGTGTAAAAAAAACTTGTATATGTTGAACTTAATTTTGAATGTCAAAGTGAGCTGGAAGTCAAACCACCATTTTTCTATGAATAGTAACATCACATACAAAATTGAAAAAAAAAATTATACATGTATCTTGAATCCACAAACATCTCAGTTTTTTCTCTATCCAATGAGTTCATATTACAAGGTTTGACTTTAGATCTCTATATAAATTGTGATAATTACCTCCCTTCTTTCCTATTTGCCTATAACACTTCCAGAACAGTCGGACAAAAGATGCCCTGTTGTGTTGTGTAGCGTGGATATAGCTGTACTCTCGAAACATGGTATGATTCCCATCTCGAACACTGTTAAAACTGAAATTAAAAATCTAGATTAATAGTTGCAAAAAAGCATGCAATCATTTTTCAGCTATTTAAATCAATATGAACTAAATTTTTAATTAATTATTTTCTATGTAGCCTAAAATCATTTGCACATTTGGTTTGTATCATAAGATGAATTAAAATTTAGCTTAAAATCAAAAGTGAAATATTCTATATCAGATTATAATGGTTTTTGAAGCTGTGATGAATGACATACTATTCACATAAGAACTTGATGGGGTTGATCTTGGAGTTTTCCTCCCTGTGTTCTAACAGTTGAGCTACAGCATCCTCCATATACACAAGAACATGATGCTTTGCTAAAAGACAATAACAAAATTATGGATAATTAATTCTCACAATGACATTCATCTTTCATCTGCCATGAATAAAAAATATTGTATGTATTTTTAAGTGTTGCACATTTGCAATAAAAATGGAACAAGAAGAGAAATGCATATGAATCTAATTTTTGAAAATTCATAAGAAATATGAACTATGACATTTCAAGCATGCATATTTATCATGAGGCACCAATGCTCTTCATGAAATATGGATGAATGAAGTATTGTATAGTTATGTTTCTTCATAAATTTTCAAAAATTCATTTCTTAAATTTAAATGAATAAAATTGTGTAACAGGAGAGGAGAAATTTTTAAATGACTTCAACAGGATTTGAACCTGGGTCCCCCGAATCTCCAGGAACGCAGTGTCAACTGAGTTGTCTGGCCACCAGTGATGAAACCCATCTGACCGCCACATTTTTCTCCTCAGTTCTCGCCAGTTACATTTGTTGCTATGATCAGGACATGATTCGATTCGACGGGATTCGATTCGACGGGATCGGAGGGGGTGGGAGAAGGTTGGGAAGGAGAGGGGGCCTTTTACCTCAGTGTTTCTGCACTCAGCTCATTCTTTTAAATGCTTCTTTGACTTTAGTTAGACTAATTCCACATTTTACTGTTAAGTTTAGAAACTTATCTAAAGAGATTAAGTCTAAGAATATGTTCCACTAGGTGCAATAATGCCCTCTCCATTTTTTTTTTAAATTGGAGCCCCCCCCCCCCCCCCCTGCAAAAAAGGAGAAAAAAGGGATACCGCTACATTATTGCGGCAAATGTCTCACATACACTTGTTTCTATAATGAATTTTTCAACCAATCATTGTACTGCTATGGGTTAAACAAAGTTTTACAGAATAAAGTGCCTGTTATGCATGTTCATATTTATCTTGGTTTTAATAAAAGAGTGCGTATCCTTCAAAATTACTTTAGGTGAATGATGGTGATATGTTCCTCAAATATTAAAATTATGATTACCTTGTATATATAAATATTTAAATTATAATTACCTTGTGATTTTTTCTAAACTGGTTTCTAATTGTCTGTAAAAATTTACATCGCAATAATTTTGATTTTGGCAATTTAAGTCATTTCCAATAGGGTAATATAGTCAACACCATCATCTGGTATCCAGCACGAATGCCTGGTAATATATAAGGTACCTCATTTTTGTGATTAAACACATCACAAAAACACAAAATAAAAGTAGCATTATTTCAATGACAACATCTTGGGGAAATTTATATATTAGGAACTTATCTTCTGACCTTATGTAAATCTTGTATTGTATTGAACAAGGAGAAAAAAAATGTCATGCTTTGACCCCGACGTGATTCGAACACGCAACCTTCTGATCTGGAGTCAGACGCGCTACCGTTGCGCCACGGAGTCGTACATACCTTCCCCTTTTTCAAAGATAAACATATCAAAATTAATGAATATGTATTTTAAAATCCCATCAAAAGATAAATAATATGAGCTGGATATTATGCTCGCATATTAGAATTCTCTGTATGAGGCATAATTCGTGAATATTCGACATTTTCATAGGGAGAATCAAGCAAAATTGCTAAATAGCGGAAGAGTTACGAAATCTGCCAGCGCGCATGCGCCTGATGACTTTGAAAATGGCGGAGGAATTGAATGAATGAAATGCAAATTTTTAAATGTTTTTAATTGCTCTACTGTAAGTATGTCTAATTCAAGCATTTCTTGTAATTTCAGTATCAACAACAATATTTTTTAAAATCATGTATGAAAAAATGAGAAAAGAGCTTTATTTTTCTACTTTGGAATACAGCTGTACGAGTCAAGCCTAAACATGATTATTTTAACGTGTTTATGTTTTGATTTCGTCGTATATATCATTATGGGCCGGCTACCGAAGCTATATTTTAAACATTTAAAGCAATTATATCAGTTCATTTAGGAAAAATTGGATATAAATTAATAATATGCATTGGGAAGTGTCAAATGTTGCTACATTCAGCGTCCTATTTTAAAATTGTGAAGTGTGATGATGCCCAGAAAGCCAAACACTGTAAAGATAGATTACTTCACTGAAAATACTGAAAACTATCCACTCTCTTTTTTTTATTTTCAGCAATTAAAACTGATTGTAAAAACTACAGGGTATTTTTTTTCCTTTTATCTCATAACATATATCAGTTTTTAAATATAAAACTCTATTTTAGCTTTAAAGGGACACTGACTGTCTTGTTGCTCTGTAGTTTCAGGGGCTATCTAGATATTTTGTTTGTCTAAATTCTGTTCACACAGAAAGGGAAAAAAAAATCTCCACCAGTTATATACAAAGTGAATTAGGGCCTAAGAGGGCATGCCCCTCTGGAAATTTTCAGATAAATGAAGCATCCTGAGGACACATTTGCAGGGATTTTCCACTACCCCGTGTAGGGCTGAATATGGGCCCCACTCCTAGTTGCAAAACCCCTCCCTTTTTCCCAAAAATGAACTGCATAATTGTTCAATTTTTGAATGCAGAAGAACTCCAGAAGTTAACTTCACAAAATACAAACATGGTCAGGTTTGGAAATTTAAGTGAAATGAACAAAATTTTAAGAATTGGGTAAAACCTTATTATAAAGATCAATTCTCTGATTCATAGTTCTGAATAACTAAGTAAAAGATCAATTTTATTCATCTTAAGTATTAATTTCTTGAAAAACATCATGCAATAAAATGTTCCAATTAATAATAAAATGTCGTAAAATTCCCAATTCTAAGGGCCTGGGCCCCATTTCCAAAAGTGAGTGGAAAATCCCTGATTTTGGACATTTCTAAAATTAGCACAAATGGAATAAAATATATTTTAAGTGTTACGTATATGATTTATCTGGAAAAAAAAACTTTATTTGGTTCTGTAATATTGTGCTTTTTCTTGGAAATGTGCAAAAGTAGTTCTAAGTACTGATGGATGGATGGATGTAATACCAATTGCTTCTGAATTAGTTTGTCTAAAGATATTGGGTTTGAATCATTATTTTAATGGACATACATGTATTACATATATCACTGTGTATTATTTTTTTAAACACGTTAAAGTTTCTTACAAACTTTCAGTAACATATCAGACACTCAGACTTATTCATTTCGTGTTTTGTAGAGGAATTGGATCTAGCTGATGAGGCATGGACAGATTCAATGAGTATTCACTGCTGCCTGACACAGTGTATAGCAGGCCTTACCTCTCTTCAACTCCAGATGTCCTGCAGTCGGTTTGTATCCTGCTTAGATAGATTAACCAGACACAAATTAAATTTAAATTTAATTATTATACAAGATCAAAAGATAAAAAAAAAGATGGAGACTGCAAGTAGCACGTTGCAAAAATGCAATCGGAACTCCTCTGATGTCTTGCACACTTCGCATTCACAGTGATTGTAAAAATGTTTAGAGTTTGAGACATCAGAGAGGTTCCTATTCACACAAGTGAGTTTCTTCATACTTGGCTTAACATTCATATTAACACCAGGTGGTTTTAGGAATATATCTGTCAGTTTGAATGGATCATTGGATTTGATACAAAAAACATAATATCAACTAATAATGTAATTAATTATTTTAGTATCTAGATGTATAGATGAACAATCTGCATTTTATTTACATATAGATATTCTATTTTTTAAAACAAATTTGATTAACATTATTAAATTTTATTTCTGAGCAGAGAAGGTACCGAGACTTGAACATGAACCATAGTTTGAACAGCTTAGGGAGAGGGAGTCTATTTGGGGAGAGGATGACATTTGGTTCACCCAGTTACCCCTCCCCTCTGGACAGAATTCGGGCTGACAGAGCAGATCTCCGATATGCTGCAGAGCTCAATGGGGTGAGAGAATCGTCATTTGAAATAAACCAGTCCTTTCCCAAGATGACAAAATCAGCCAGGTGTCTGGATGAAACTATGGCAAAACCAAAGGCCAGGAAACCAAGTTCAAAGGAGAAATACGAATTAGGTAACACTTCAGGGATCAGAAATACATGTATATTGATTAAATCAAGATTGTTTATGATGTTTTTTTGCATTTTGACCAACATTTAGAACTTGGAATGGATACAAAAATATGAATCATATTTCATGGCTCTCAGAACACATGGAACAAGAAACCAATTCTTTGGAATTCCATAGGTAGTTATAATTATTAAATGTTTACATTTCATAATTAAGACCAGTGATTTGTAAAATATTTTTGATTTTCAGGCTGTGAATTCAATGACGTAAGCTTCAGTCCTGGTCAGAACAAAAGTTCCTTTACCTGCGACCTCCACCCTGACAGACAAAACTGGTCATTTTACAGCTACATAGGAGGGGCACAGTCAGGGTCGGTCTATCCAACCACCATCCACAATCCAAATAAAGCTATCTGCACCATTGACTCAGTGTCATCAGAGGTAGCTTACAAGAGACACAAACTATCCCCACTACTATACAAACATATTAAATATCACATTGCATTGTACATTGTTTGGGGTGTATTAAGAAAAACAAACTGAATATTGTAGAAAAATGTTAGGTTTGGTACTTTGCAATTGTACTTCAGTGATTGAATAGAATACAGAATGAAAATCAAAATTCAGAGACTCAGGATTATAAATCAGCTAATGCAATGGGCATTGTCAGTCTCACTTATTCAGAGCTGCCAACCCTTACGATTTTGGCGCAAGTCGTACGAAATTAGCACCTGAAATACGCCGTACGATTTCTCTCCATATTCTTCCGATTTCGGTTTTTCTACCTCAAAGTTTATAATACAGGAATTTTCATAGCTGGCCATCTACAATTTCTACTAATCTAATTAAATATTCATAATCCTTGCAACGCTTTCTTGTGTTGTTGTCTCGGTTTTAGAAGGCCGATCGTATTCATGTCAATGTTTTAAAGTAAACAAAATAGAAACATGCCTCAAATTGCTCCAATTACATGTCCATTTACAAAAATATCTTCAGCGGCTTGGAACCTAGCGGTCCCCAGACCCTGCCTTACTATTTGTCATTTCAGAATGTTGGCAGCTCTGCTTATTTATTAAATTCATGTTACCTTTTTCAGATTTTGATTGCCAATGATATGGCCTGCGAACTGTTTGGGTATGAAACAGAAGAACTTTTGGGTAAAAAGCTTAAAGATTTAATTAAGCTGAAACCCAAGGAGCAGGCCACAATAATGGAATGTCACTTTGATGAAACATCAGGGAATATTGTCAGTCTTGCTGGCAAAGTGGTAATTAGAAATCAGATGCTAGAATTTTTAATTAAGAAGAAAAATTGTTCCAAAACAAATCAGAAACTGTATAATCTTAATCAGTCTTATCTTGATATAAAAGAATGTAATAATACAAGGCTTCAAAATACATGTAACTTGCAAATTGACTGATTTATCAACAATCTATGTTTTGCTGATATTTTGAAATAGGTGGATGCCGTTGATAACAATGGACTAGTCATGCCAATATCTGTGTGGGTCAAAAGGTTAGACCAGGAAAAAGAACAGAGGGCATTGGTTGTCATGGAACCAGTGGAGAGAACTGTTGCTATGGTGACATTTAATGATGAGGTATTTTCATAAGTATTGCGCAGTAAATTGGAGCACATGGCTCAGTGGTTATAGGTGTTTGGCCAGTAACCCAAAGGTCACTGTTTTGAGCCCAGTTGTTGGCAATTGATAGCTTTGACAAGGCAATTTACTTTACTGGGATATTTTTGCCCTCCTCACAGGTGGACAAATTAAAAGCAAACACAGTGTAATTTCTTAATCAGAACTCTGATTGTGGAAATTTGAAATGGGGCAAAATTATTTGCAAGTTTGAAAGGGCAAAAATAATATGGAGACAAAAATAACCCTTAATATACAATATCTGCCTTTTCTCAATCCACCTGGCTGCAATGAGTACCAGTATCTGCTGGGGGTTAATCTTTGATGGACATGGGTTGCATCCAGGGGGAATCAATCAATCTCAGCCGAATCATAGATTGGAGAAAAATTTAACTTACAGTTAATTTCACAATCCCACACCGAAAACCCATTCTTTGGGGGTGGGTGTAGGTGGTAAACCAACCTCCTACCACTTTAAAAGTCTTGTTATGAACTGAAAAAAGAAAAAAAATGTATATTTCTGTAAATAATGTCCCTCTCATAATATTGTAGCTTATCTTGACTTGATGTCACTGCTTGTATGATGTTGAAATAATTTTCCATTCCATCAAACAGGGAAGAGTTTTGTCCTGTGACCATCAGATGGCATACTTGTATGGCTATTTTTCACCAGATGACCTGGAGGGTCTGAAAATAAAGCAGTTAATTCCTTCCTTAAAGTTACCAGCTGCAGGACAGCCACTGGAAAAGGTATACATTTTTAAAGTCCTCATGTATCAATGATTTTTGTACATTTTCTTCAAAATCTGACTTCATTTTGCATTTAAATTGTAACATAGTATTCCTGAATTGTGGAAAAGTGAAAAATGTGTCATAAATTTAGGAAACTGTGCATTTTTTGTTGTGGTTAATTTAAAGGTCATTCAACTTTGCAGGAAATTAGAAAACAGAGAGCAACAGGGAGAACAAAGGATGGAGCCTCTTTCCCTCTCAGTCTGTCAATCAAGCTGGCAACAGAAGTGGAGAATTCCAGCTACGCATCTGCAGGTGGTTTTCTATTTACCTGTGTTATGAAAGAGCATATAAAGAAAAATTTTTTATTCATGTACAGTGATACAAAACACATCTTTGGATTTTCTCTGTTATTTTAAGTAATTTAAGTCATATGATGTTAAGCAAACCAATCAGCTTTATTGAATTACACAGTAAAAATAATATAGATAACATTAGATTTAATATTAATTAAAATGATATCATTTTCTTACTTTTCTTCAAGGAGCCCTTCATGATGATGGAGAAAATATATATGTTGGTGTTTTGTGGGTGTTCTCCAACATCAGTGGCCTTGTTACCTTGCTTCCAGATGGAACTATTAGCAGTATCAATGAAAATTTCGCCCTGATGCTGTTTGGGTATTCTAGTGCAGATCTCATAGGGAAGGTACATAGGAATTAATATTCACATTGAAAAGGATAAAAAGAAAAAAAATACAATTTTTATAGTAGGCATTTTCAACTTTGCAGTGTTTTTATCTTGACAATTATTTGTTTACTGTACAATGTGGATCTTCACAGAAAATGCATTTTGTTGCAGGACATTTCAGTTTTGATCCCTGATTTTTATGACATTCTGGAGCTTGAGGAGAATTCAGAGTCTGGTAGTAATCACAGTGAACTGAGCAACTCAAACCCATCACCAGGCAACAAGAAAGGTTCAGTTATTTACACATGTACAATGTAGATCTTCACAGGAAATACATTTTGTTGCAGGACATTTCAATTTTGATCCCTGATTTCTATGACATCTTGGAGCTTGAGGAGAATTCAGAGGCTGGCAGTTATCACAGTGAACTTAGCAACTCAAACCCGTCACCAGGGAACAAGAAAGGTTTGATTAATTACACACATTTGTATTATGAATACCCATAGAAGAAAAAAATGACAATTTTATAGGTGATATCTACATACATGTGTTTATAGCACATTCAGTTCTAGTGTGTAGATTTTAAATCAATGTCTTTTAATAATATATTTTTGTAATGCATTTGCTAATAAAAATTTTCAATTCAATGGTGTATTTGATAACCTCTTTAGTGTTTTATTTATTTATAGATATACAGGAAGTGGACAGTAGTGATGACCAGGGTATAGGGAGCAGTATAACCTCTAACCAATGTCCCCCTGTTATTGACCATCATCCACTGCTGGGTCCTGGGGTCACATCAACCCCCAACAGAACTCAGACTGTGTCATTCTTCAGGTACAATCATGAAAAGTCAGGGATAAATTTACCTTTAAAAATTTAAAATGAAAGTTTTTTGTTGCAAAGATTTGTAAGGCACATGTAATCCATGTATGTGGGTACTTTCTGCAGTTGGGTGACTGTAGAAAAATTTATCTACTTTAATGTTTTATATTTTGATTTTACAATAAAATGACAAACTTTATGTAGAAATATATATTACTAGTGCAGATCAAATATTGAAAAGAGCATTTATCACAAAGGAGTTGCAAAACAATCCATTATAATCATGAGGAATCATGAGTAAATTTAGTATTATATTAGTTATTCCATCTTTTTGTTTTCTAGGAGAGGATCTGATAAAGGGTCAGGGAGTGAGGTGGAAATCTCCCCATTGGCTGTTGGCCTGAAGGAAGATCTAATTGGTCGACTAGAATTGAGTGACAGTGAGGAGGAGGGGCCTTTTGCTGACAAGGCAGCCATTTCTGTTATCCGAACAGATGCAAGATCACCAGAAAACAACCACAGTAATGTATCTAACTCCAGTACTGAGACAGTTCCTACAGCAAGGGAGGTCACCAGGAATGTAGCTGTGAAGCAGGAAGTGAAAGAGAAAGAACACTCTTGTCCTCCTAGTAAATTTTCTGAAGAGAATGTGGATGGTAAAGAGAAGTTTGGAGAGGAAAAAATGAATGGATCTGGTCAAGTGGAAAAAATAATAGTAGATTGTGTTGAAGATAAAATTTCTATTGTGTGTAGTTCTAATGATAAAGAAGTCCAGCCTCAAGAGCCAACAATGTCAGCACAGGCTCCAGTTAGAAGTGAAAAAAGCAGTGAGAGCTCACCAGAAAAGGTAACTGACAGTGACCAAGTCATTGTAGACAGGACAGAATTTCTCCAAACACTTCAAGACACAAATAAAATATTGATGGAGATTCAGTCAAGTATTGGAGATAAACAGCCTATTGATAATAAGAAGTTAAGCAAAGACTATGTGGAAAAGGAAACGAGTGAAGAGGTGCCAAAAATTGTAGAGACAGATGAAAAACATCAGAGTGAAAAACCAGACTTAAATGTTTCAAATTCTACAATAGAGCTGTTAACTGCTAATGTGGAAGTGTTAGATTTGGGTGATTCAGGATGCAAGAAGAGGAATGTTAAGGGAGAAAGGGAATCCTCTTTTGGGGACAAATCAGGGACGCTAGCAGACATTAGCAGCAGTGTTCATTCTAGTGCTATTTTAAAAGACATTTCCAGGGAGAGTCTCAAGGAAGATTTATCTTTCCCTGCAAGTCATGACTACATTCCAAAGTGCAATACAGAATGTGTTACCAATGATATTACCAGTAGTTCCATAGAAAATTCTGTAGATTTTGTAGAGAGTGTACACAATTCACTAGCTCACCAGATTAGGAACAGCTCGTGTCATTCCAGTGGGCGCAGCACTGACCACCAGATGACCAGCGAGTCATCATGTGATCCAATGTCCAGTTACAACCACAGCAGCTTTCTGACCGACAGTGTGAGTTTTCACGAGAGAGACAGCGGGTGTAGTCCGAGGAAGCACAAAAGAAGGGACAGGAAAACCAATCCCTCTAATCAACAGAGCACATCATCCTTCTCCTCAGCGAGTCAATCCATGGCATTCCCCGAGGGGTCATATGCTGGACAAGGAAAACACAAAGACAGGTCCTATTTAGGTAATGTTAGTGATGCACTTCATGTATAAGGCAGCATTATATTACAGTGTTACATGTACTAACATTAACATTATTTGATTCACAGGGACATTGATCTTGATTTGTTGTTATCTAATTTACTGTGAGAGAAAAAAGTTATTTAAACAGAATAAAAATGATAGTAACTTATTCATCCATCTCATTCTGTGTAAACAAAATGTTGATATATGAATACATCTTTTCTAACGCCATAACATACAATAATCAGCATACATACTTTTGTTTTAGGGATAATATTTCAGATAAAGCGGGTGACGTTGGAGGATGGCAGTGTCAGATACTGTATGTGGGTCTCCAGAGACCCTGAGGAGCCGGCCGAGGGGGGCAGATCATTCGCCAATCTTACCCTGGCCACAACCCTCAACAGCACCATGGACCGCTCAGGCAACTTTAGTCTGGGAGATGTAAGAACACTGAAATCCCCTTAATACACACATTTTTTATGAAAAGAAAATTGCTAGTAACATTTATTGCAATAAAAAGAGTACATATAGAATATAACTACAATTTGATCTAAGATATTTTCAGATCATCTAGCCTAACCGATGAAAGATTGTTTCAAAGTTATTCTATCATGTGACTTTCTTGTGAAGTGTATGACCAATTTTCAGGTGTACAAATCTATGAAAATGAGAAAAAAATATAATTTTTCAGTTACTGGCAGAAAAAGCTTGTTCTGAGTCCAAAGTGGAGGATAAGGAGGATGACCTGTCCCACAGAAGCACGGAGGAGCAGGGGGAGGAGGAGGGACCCTCCCCAGGGAGGGGACTCTACGACATTAAATACCACACCCTTAATGCCATCGGCAAGGGAGCTTTTGGATTTGTGAAGTTAGCCAGGAGAAAAATTGATGAGGAAGAGGTATTTGGAATACATAGAATCGATTAAAATGGAAGCAGATAAATATCTCCTTAGGAGAGAGTAACATATAGAATGTATCCATTGTAATATAATTTCATGAGCATGGATGTACTGAGTATATATTGAAGTTTTCAAGAAGCTTCATAATACAATGTTTAATGTTTCTGATGGGTTTTAGACATGTTTGACAGAATGAGATAGATTGAACTTGTATCTAAGAAAATTCTTTAATAATTAAAAAAATGTTGTAATTTCCAATGTATTATTTCTAGTATCTACAGTAGTAGATATATTCAATATACCCTTGCCCCCTGGTTAATACTTTCCTTTAATTATAACCAGGTTGTGGTGAAGTTTATCAAAAGGAATAAAGTGTTGTCAGAATGCTGGACAGTGGATCAGAGGGGTCAAAGGCTACCGCTGGAGGTGTCACTTCTGAAGATGCTACATCATCCAAACATTGTCAGGGTAATCAGAAGACAATTTTAATTAATTGTGAATACAAAAACAAAGAACATCGTAATACTTACTGACAATGTATTTGTGTTTATATTTGATGCCCACTGCATATTTAGAATTCTTTTTGTTTCTAATTAGTTTATAAACATTTCATTTGTTTACTTAATGATTTACAGGTGCTAGAGGTGTTGAGACTTATTAGTGGTCAATTAGAATTCTTTATTCCTATTAAGTATAGAAAGGTATCAATTGTACACTGAATGATTTACAGGTCCTAGAGGTGTTTGAGAATGAGGACTTTATCCAGATGGTCATGGAGAAACATGGCAGTGGTATGGACCTGTTTGAATTTATTGATCGCTCACCAATGTTGGATGAAGCACTTGCCAGCTATATTTTCAGACAGGTAAATTTATATTCACAATTTTCTTTACATTTAAGTATTGTACTATTGATTCTCTCATCTTGTCAGCAGAAATTAAGATCTGATTAAATGTGTGAAAATATTTTTAAAATTTTATTATCTTCATTATGCAACAACTTGTTTAATGGTTTAAAAAACACTATTTTTCAGATTGTAGATGGTGTAGCCTACCTGCATAACCTTAACATTGTCCATCGGGACATTAAAGATGAGAATGTCATTCTTAATGAGAACTTCCGGATAAAGTTGATTGACTTTGGAGCTGCAGCTTACATGGTGCCAGGGAAACTGTTTGGAACATTCTGTGGCACTATGGAATACTGCAGCCCTGAAGTCCTGCTGGGAAATAGGTATGTGTTGTTTAGATACTGGAAATCCTATTTACAGATTGTACCTGTTCAAAGTTTTATGTGTCAATCAGTACTTAATAGATGCAATTTGCTGCACAATCTTAATGTCAAATGTTTTCACTTTGAATGATTGGATTTCTACTGAAATACTTTTATAGATATCAGGGACCTGAGCTTGAAATGTGGTCACTAGGAGTTACTCTGTACACACTGGTCTATGGAGAAAATCCATTCTTCGATGTAGAAGAGACTATAAAAGGGAAGCTTAAGCCTCCTTTCCAGGTTTCAAGAGGTACAATGCAAATTTTTAAATCTTTTATGATATTTATGTACATGTACATCAAATTATTTGGGACTTCAAAATAAAGATGCCTATATTCACTCTCATAAAATTTTGCTTCAATGCTAATGATTCATCAAAAGAAACCTACTGTAATGTTGAAAAGCACACAATATCAATAAGCATTTCAGGACAAAAATAGAAAAAAAAATTCATGAAAAAGAATAATGCATTTAGTAACAAGCCAGAGTTATCTCCCTTATCTAAGAATTACTTAGCCTTATGATTAATCAACTTGTTTGTCTTACAGCTCTGACACATTTACTCTCTGGACTGCTGAACCCCAGTCCAGCCAAGCGGTTAACCATAAAGCATTGTCAGAGAGACATATGGACCAATCAACCAGTTGATCCTACACAGTATTCCTGGACGGAAGTTCTGCCAAACTGCGGTGAGTACAGTAAATCTGCTTGCACGTGCAAGGGAGGATTAATTTGAATTCTTTATCAGTGTTTCATTAAACATGTATCTGAAAGGGTTAACAACTTACACTTTGCTGTAAATGTCAATTTATTATTTTAAGCATGTTTGGGATAATGCAACAAAAACTACTACATATGAACAAATTAATCCCTATCTTAATTTTGAACCTACATTTTCATTCTACTATATACGGAAATGGATTTACTTGTAATTCAGTATTGATTTATATTATTTCTATTAGAATTTCATGTAAACACTGCCTCAGATAACAGAATCGACTCTCCAGAGTCCAAACACAACACAAAGGTAGCCGCCTCCAGCCACACAGACAGATATATAGACAAAGTATACACAGACGAGGACTATGTTCAAACTGTCCCTCCTTTCTCCCCTCCAAGCTATCAGACACACACCCTGAACTCTAAATATAGCTCTATTGTGGATGTTTAGCAGTGACTGCGTAAAATCTTAATTGAGGGGAATAGTGCTTCCTTTCTCAGTTTTCTGTTTTGGTTGTTGGGAAAGATAAGGTTTACTTATGTGAATGGTTGTAGATATGATAAATAGGAGCTTACAATTAATAGTCTGATGATAAATCAAAATACTTCAAGTTTATGTTTCTTTACATTATATTATGCCGTTTACGATGTATATTGTGCCACATTTTACTTGTATTTATCCTGGTGCTGTTTATTTTTTCATGTAGCAGTTTATTTTTTTTAAAAGGTTGATTTGAACTTTTAGCCTTATGATATACATTAAAGTTGTGTGAATATTATAGATGCATATATAGATGGAAGAACATAGCAATATAGATCTATGCAATATGTCTAAAATATTTTGATTTTGTTGCTGTTGCCTACAATACATGTTCAACTTGCATTCTTATTTGTGCCATGGTTGAAAATCTATATATCAGGGTTATAACAGTTTCTTCAGAAGCTCAGACAATAATTTTTAACCTTACACTTCCTTTTCTGTTGTTAAGGATAAACAATAAATATTTATTTGTCTGTTTTATTTTTCTGAAAAGCAATATTTTTGACTTAATATGAATTAATAAAGTGAAGATAATATTAACTCAGTATTATATGATATAAAATGTACTTACCTGATTGGTTGTACAGTCTATGTGTAGTCTTTATCAAGTTTGTTCATATAATCATGTCAAATGTATCTAGTCCATGTATAGTATTTTTGTGTAAAACAGATATCAAAATTTGCTCTGCCCACTCATAACGCAATAAATGTATAATCAAGCTAAATTTTTATATGAGATTCAGTTATTTTATAACTGCCTTTATTAAATGTTTTTATTCTCACCAAATCTTTTGTCTTCTTTATTCATTCTTGAAAAGAATATTGTATTCTATTTTATATACTAGTATTTGAAAATTAATGTCAGAGTAAGAAAAATAAATCACCAAAAAATTTAATCAAAGTTTAGATTTTGATTCAGCCCATTTTCATAGGCATTGTATTTTGACACTTCTTTCACAATTTCAAAAATAACATCGGGCTCGATATTCAAAAAATATTTTGTACGTAAACACAAACATGAAGTTAATTTCCCGAAACTTGAGAATATTTTACCAAAATAAAGGATATCAACTGATTTCTCCAAGAACTGGTGAGTTTTTCCGAATAAATACGTTGCTATGAATAATTCAAAATAATAGGACAGAGTTGTCACCCTCAGGTCTTGACGAAATAGTTTACTGGTGGGTACAATCGTTTCATTTTCTGATTTTGGGAGTTACAACAGGTTGGGCACAGTTCCTTTTTCGGGGAAGTATTACTGTAAAAGGGAACTATTACTCTTTTCAGTAATAAAAACATTACTCAATTGGGGAATTTTTGTCACATTTTTTAAATAATACCTCTAATCCATTTATTAAATAAAAAGTGCATAAAAAATACAATGTGATGTGTTTAATCTTTATCAAACAAACCTCGCTGACTGAAAAATTTGCTGCAGACAAGAGTAAGATGAGATTTAATAATTTTCCCTGTTGATAAATGGTACCAAAAGTATGGAATCTAATAAGGGCATTCATTCCAAGACAATTTTAAAAGAATGTCGTTTGAAATTTAATATTTCAAATAATTATTTTCATATGTAAAAGAAGCAATGATATTTAAAATTATTATTATGATTTCATTTAAAGAAATAGAATAAAATTAAATTAGACCGAGTAATCTCATGAACCAGTTAGCAAGTGCTGAACGTATCCATTATCACAATTTTAACACAGGTAAGCTACCGTAAGAAATCTATATCATACAAATATTTCATCACACTTTTTCAGCTTTTTGCAGCCATAAATATTGCAGTTTTGAGCACACATACATTTAATAGACAATAAATATTTAGAGGATGTGAAAATATTCTTGCACTTTATCTTTTATTCAAAACAAACACTAAAATAGAGGCTAAATGAGTGAAAATTCCATTCAGTAATGTTTTTTATTACTGAAAAGCCCTTTTAAAATACTTCCCCGAAAAAGGAACTGTGCCCAACCTGTACAAGGATTAGTATGCATGTCAAAAGTATAATTTATAAAATCAAAATTTGTGTTGTACGGTAATTGTAAACAGATTTTTTTTACATGATAATATGACATACATTTCTTATCGACTGTCAAAGAGTACAGTATATAACTCGTTTAGTACGAACATGGATATAGCGAATTCGCGGATATAGCGAACTTATTTTGGATCCCCAGTAATATAAGTTAAACGAATTCCTTATACGGATATAGCGATTGGTCCCAGTGACGTTTAACTGTACTATTCCTCTCTAATCTGTGAAATGTTATTAATAATAATATTATATACATGTACTTATAGTCTCAAGCCTGTTGCATATAGATGTAACTACTAGTGTATAAATATGTACCATTTTAAATCTTATAACTGTCCGAACTGTAATTTATTAATTATAATTTTTTTTCCAAAAATAAACATCTTTGGTGTCTGATACATATAGTCAGCTCAGCGTCCAGTGCAGTTGTTGTGGACAATATTGGTACGATATCACTGATCGGCATTAATCGCCCAGAGAGGCGGAATGTAGTGGATCCGCCCACCGCAGAGATTCTGTACAAAGCCTTTAAAGCCTTCGAACAAGACGAAAAGAGATCCGTTGCAATACTTTATGGAAAAGGTAAAACCATACTGCAGGTGTCATAACAGTATTACACTTTGGTTCACGTCAAATCTTCCTTTCCGATTCGGGCATTTTGATACGAGACTGGAGCTGAATTTTTTTATGAGATGAAAAACAACATGTCGACTTCGACCGAAACAAACTTGCGTGCCTTGCTGGATGGCTATGTATTTTTTGGTACTAAAATCTTTATAAAGAATGTTTTTACAAGAACTGAAAAGGAAACTTCTCAGAAGTTTGTTTTGAATTAGTTACATCTACTCAAACTTGCGCATTTTTGGTAAGAATATATAGCAGAAATTAATACTGTTGTGACACCGTTAGTTCATCTCTCTGTTGTAATTTGTGAAATTTTCGATATTACCCTTCATTTCATTCACGTATGGACTGTTTATGTGGTAGTGTTATTGAAGGTCAAGAAAATATATATCCCAATAACTAAGATAACAAGAATTTATGCATTTGTATGACCTTTGAAAAATTTGGTAGCAATTAAAGGTCATTCTTAGCCTCAGCAGGAACCTATATAGTATATAGGTCACTGGCCTCAGTATTATCAAATATCATATAGAAAATTGAAGTTAAAACATCCATTCAAGGCATAATTTGTTACGTATAAAATCACAAGTAGTTAGTTCTTAATTTTGATAATGTATGTTTGTAATATTAGATGGCAACTTTTGTGCTGGATATGACTTGAAGGCATTATCCAAAGTGGAAACGCAAATTCCGTCTAATGATCCAGACAACGCAGAAATTGGACCAATGGTTTGTATGCCTTATATCCTTGGAAAAAATTAAAGTAGGAGTGGGGGAGGGGGTTGGTGGATAAGAATTGTATTTGGACAACTTAACTGAAAAATCATTGACCAAAAAATAAAAATAAAAAAGACGACTCAAATGATTCTCCCGGGCTATTGTAACAAAATTGGGAGCCAGTCCATCTTTCAATAAACAATTTCAACAGGTTAAAGGTAACTTTTGGGGGGAAATGGTGGTTTGGGAAGAACAGCTTTTCAATTAACTTTTTCAATAGTTAAAGGTTAAAAAATGTGGAATGTTTTTTTTTGGGGGGGGGGTGTTGATACCAGTGAAACGTGTTCTAAATTCATGATGGAAGAATTTATTTTACGTTTGTGAATTTTATTTCTATTCTAGGGACCCTCTAGGATGGCTTTCAGTAAGCCGGTGATAGCGGCTGTGTCTGGGTACGCGGTGGCCGGGGGGATGGAGCTAGCCATGATGTGTGACCTCAGGGTCGTGGAGGAATCGGCTAAAATGGGGGTCTTCTGTCGAAGATTTGGTAAGGTTTACAAAGTGAATATTTACCATTTCATGGCTCCCTTATTTTAGAGTCCCTAAAATATCTAAAGACTGTAAGTTGGTTGGGATCAGTTTTATACTTTTACAACGAGTTTATTATATGTACAGTACGAAGAGTTAATATACTCATAACGTTTTTTATGACAATTTCTTTTACTATGGAAAGTTGAAAATGTTGATTTCAGGTGTTCCATTGATTGACGGGGGAACCGTGCGTTTGCCACGGTTGGTGGGACTTTCCCGTGCGTTAGATCTTATTTTGACAGGAAGGGAAATCGGAGCCCGAGAAGCGTATGACTTTGGTCTGGCAAATCGGGTTGTTCCAGATGGAAAGTGTAAGAAAACTTAATATTTAAAAAAATTCTTTGGTACGAATTAATTTGGCTAACCCAGTATTAGAGTTGCGGTGTATTCAATGAATCTAACGTATACTACTAAATGTGACACCCCATATTGACTTGTGATATACTGAACATGAATCATTAAATTTGAAATTTCTACACCTTTTACTTTTAGCTCTTGATGCTGCAATAGAGCTGGCAAAAACGTTGACCAAGTTTCCTCAAAGATGTATGAATACAGATCGCTCGTCGGCCTACTACGGCGTGTATGACGCAAAGAGCATGAAAGACGCACTACAGTGCGAGTATACCCAGGGGTTGAAGGTCATAGTAGAGGAGGCCATACCAGGTACATGTGAATTCACACAATTCCTGTTCTTAACATCACAATCGCATCATCTCGGCGCCTTTCTCTCAGAGGTCGGAAAAACAACCCGAGAAGTTGCGATTGAAAACATCGTTAATGATGTTTTCAAATAAAATTAAATTTCGTTAATCAAATAATTTTCTTGTATTGAAAGGTGCTCAAAAGTTTGCTCAAGGTCTTGGAAAGCATGGTAGTTTCAACATCGGGGATCAAAGTGGAGGAAAGTCCAAATTGTAATAATAGTCTTAATGTTAATTGAAGGTGTTGTTGCCTATCATCGGTACAAAGTGACACTTGTCCGTCTGACTGTCTGTTCCTCACTGGTGAAAATTTAAATTTGCAGATAATTCAGACGTAGAAATCAACGTTTTCTTTGTCCGAATCAAAGGGAAATTGAAATGAGATGTGATAGAAACAATGAACATGTTTAAAGTTTGTACATGTATATAATACTCATTAAGATTAAATTACCAGACAATAAATGGTGCTTTGATTAGGTGGCCATGAAAACAGCCTTTTTTATTAAATAAAATCTGTCAAAGAAATTTATTATGTGTTAGACAACAGTTGCAACTTATGTGACAATAAAATACCATTGCATTGAAAGCACCCATTAATACCTTCTGATATAAAAAAGCAAAATTGGAACACGATAAAGTGATAAACAGTATAATTTTATTTTATTTTTTTTTTTGAAACTCGGCTGAATGCAATATAAAGAATAAAAAAAATTCGCTTCACAGTCACGGGTACCCCATGTTCCATTAGTTTGGTCTGGGTGAAATAAATTGAACTGAAATGGAGTAACTCGGTAAAGAGATGATTAATACGTTGCGGGATTTATAATCCATTGTGTGTGTTGGAGACCGGGATGAGACCGTATAAACCGAGGTCCTATGTCGCTGTAGGTAGAGGTTACGAAAAAGATCCCTCAATGACAAGAAGCCATAGTGGTGAGTATACATATAATTTAAAATTTTCTCGCCATTGAATGTCTTTTCTCTCTTAGACTCTTAATCTTTCTTTTCATTTTGTCTTTCTCAACGGTGTTCAAAGAATCCAAAGTCTATGCGAGTTTTACCAAAGTGAAAATTTTTAATAATTATTACAAAAAAAAAGTTTCACTATCTTTTCCTTTTTTGATTGTATTTTAGATATTCATCGATTTTTATGTCTCATTTGAGCCATAACGAACGGAACTCGAAACACTGTGAAACTAAATAGAGTTACCTTTCCTAGTATCGGTCACATGACACGTCACTAAGCCGTGACGTCATAATAGAGACTGCGCTTTCTTGATCTCCGATCGCAAAAATTGTGGTAAGAAAAATAATTATAATTGCTGCTAAAACTAAAACATTAGCGGTAAAGTTACTAATCATAGAAAATGTACTTCATTCTACTTATGTTTAATTGGCAGATTTGAGAAGCCTTTTCCAAAGTTCAGATTTCTGATTTTTGGCTGCAATATTTGCTCTACGAAGTAGTGGTCATCTTTGGAGTATAGTAAGTAAAAATTTAAATTGTTGGCATAAGCAGGCACATTTTGCATTACTTGTTTGAAATTGTAAACAATAAATTCATACACGTATTAATTATCAGTTCTGTCATTTTTGTTTTCCAAAACATTCTGAAGACTTTGTTTCCAAACACTTTTATTCAATGAAAACGAGGATATAAATTACTAACGTTTCAAGTTTTTGGGGTTTTACTCGATTTTCTAGGTCATAGAAATACCATGTAATATATTAAAACTTCCATAATTTTTTTATTTGCCTTTCTTTTTTCTACTCTCTTTCTTTACAAATTTTATAGTTTAAGATGGATCAGAGCGCGAGTCCATCGTTGCAGATGTTTCACCAATTGAACAACGAGGTATGGTATTTTTACTGAATTTTTGAAATCGATTGTTTGACTTGTGTAACCATTTACATTCTTTGTTTACTCATATATAGCCACCCCCACCACCGTTTCACATCTTTTCATTTTGGTCTTGCTTCTATTTTATGAAAATGTAACACAACCCTACCGCCAATTTCTTGAACAATTTAGCGTATCCCCCACCCCTGCTTCACTTTTATCATTGTATTGAATTTTCATGGATTTATTTTTTAAATACACGAATACTTTCTGATACGTGTGTTAAAGTTTGAAGTAGCATATCAGAAACCCTTGGGTAGGAAGATGACCTTTTTTTTCAGACGTATTGAAAAATAGCAAACTTAAAATTTCAATCTCGCTATTAAAATGCACATTTCCTCCAGTGTCTCTATCATTTTACCAGAGAGTTTTCTGACACAAGTTCGAAGTTGTAAAATCAATTTATAGTATTTTGATTTTAGGTTTCATGGGGCAGGGAATGGGAGGTGAAGGTTATCTATTTCTGATACTTTTTCAAAAAATGCGAATTTTGAGAGAAGAAATATATACATGTACATGGTTTATTATACATTTATGTCGTTAGTTTGTGATGATAGAAGATTTTATATAAGCTAGAGCATGTGTTTTACATGAATATACATGTAAATTAATTAAACAATGCGCGTAAATATATTACCCGACTTAAAAATATTTTTTGTTTTATAGCAGAATGAAGAAAACGAAATTGAAAGTCTTTCTTTTCATAGGAAGCGACTGGTATGTATTAATCTAAAAAAAAAATAAATTGAACATTGTATTTGGTTCAAATAGTCAAAAACAAAACTTCATAAAAAAAAATTATATATATAATTATAATTATTTAATTTATCAATATATCTTTTATTTTGAAAAGGATGTGAAATAATAAAAGTTTAAAATTTTAAAAAAAATGTTTAATTGTGTTTGTACAAAAAAGAATGGTTGTCATTTAGGGGAATAAGGCATCAATGATGATCATGATGGTCGAGCACGATGATTCCGATGATGAAGACGAAGGTCCGGAAGAACTTGACGAGGAGGTAGGATTATTAATTAAATTTGTCACGGTTTTGAGGATTGATATACAATTTACTAATAAATTGTTTGTTCACGAACTTTTTTTTCACAACAGACGGTGTCAAGCATGTGTAGCTTGCCTAGAGAGATAGCCTTGACTCAACAGGTAAACAAATCTCTTAAGTGTGCAACCTACATGTATGAAAGAAACTAAATACATGACTTAGTTTCGGGGGAGGGGGTATCCTACAAAGTTCTTTACACTTTTTAAAGAGTAGTCTGAGGATGCAAAATTTCACTTTCAATTAAGATTGATTGACCCATTCTTATTATTTGTCGAAAAGAGCTTCAAGCCTTGGCATATACCAGAGGCGCACAGGGTTGTCTCTTCACTTTTTCAGATAAGAATAGTTTTGGGACTATATCACATTCACTAAAAGTGATCTCTTCTTGTTAATTTTTAAAATAAAAGTCCCCACTTCACTTCCCTATAAGGAATAGATCTTTTAATTGTTTGTGTATGTACATAAATGTATTAATGTTTGTGTGTAAATATGTTTAGAAGGTTTTTTTCAATTATTTCTGACTGAGTCACCCCCCTCCCCCTCGAAAAAAACCCTTCCGCTTAAAAAATGTTCTATGCTTCTCAGTGCTATCTGATGTTTCAGGCAAAACAACTTTCTGAAATAAGTGTGAAAAAGGCACTTGCCAAAGAACTATTTGAAAATGAGGTAAATATGAAATCATTGTCAATTTTATATAACTCACGATTATTGATTTGCATTGAATACTTTATTTAAAGTGCATACTTCCTTTACAGATCAAACAAATGTCCCTTATTTCCATTCACTCGGCTTTCTCAGCTGCTGTGATGTATCAGTCCGACAAGAATCGGTCAAACAAACGCAAGGTGAGATTCTAGATAGTTACTTACACTTTTAAAAAAAATCCAAAATCAGACTTCTTAGATCCGCGCCATATACACTCTGCGTATCTAATAATCCTGATTTAAATTAAATTGTAATAAAACCGTGAGTTTGCTTTTTCTCATTAGAGGTTTTTGTACGAATTCTTTTTAAGTATTTTTTTCTTTTCAGTCCAACATCTTCCGAAGATTTTTCTCCTGTTGTTTTTCGTGTATTCGAAGAAGAAATCAATAAAGTGTTTTTACCAATTCAATTCTTGTTGTAAGATAACATTAATTTCATATTTTGAAAAAAAGGGAGAACATAAAATCAAAATTTTGACCTTGATTTTATTTTAACAGTAACTATATAGCCCTACCTACAGTACAAGATGAGTAAAATAGAAAGTTTATAACATTCAACTTTATTCAGTATTTTTGCCTTATAAGGCGAGATTTTTATTCTACCTACGAAAATCTCAGAGCTTAATGGGCTTTCGCAGAAATGCCAACAGTAAGAAATTACTGAAATTTTTTGAAATGAGCTGGTAAAAAAAATCACAAGTTTAAAATGTTTTAAAAGTATTTTAAGGTTACAATGTGTAAACAATATTTGACAATATTTTGTGTAAAACTTCACACAGGCGTATTTGCTGAATTGCCTTTTTTTTTCTTGCTTCGTAGACAAGAATTCCAGACTTTATATTTATTACCCATTTCTTGTTAACAAACATACATCAAATTTATACCAAGATATTATCAGTCTGCCCCGGCATATGAATCTTATTTATCACATCATTAACAGTGGTAATGAAGCAGATGATGAATTGGAATTCGGATTTATTGACAGTAATTGAGGAGACAGACTTGAAAATTGTAATTAAATTAGTTCGCGCAAGCTTGTTTACCCATAGGACATGAGAGGTTTACCCACACCCAAAACACAATTTTATGATTGGTAAGTTGAAGGAAAAGAAATCAATGACAAATTTCAGAAAGATTATAAAGTACAATTTAGTTGCTGGTTGACCTTTTCAATAACTTTTATACTTATTTCTGGAAACGTGTCCATGCACTTATTTCTCTCTTTAATAAAATTAAGAGATCAAAAATGGGAAAGCTTTTTTCTGTTACATCTAGCAGTCTTTTTCAAAAGATGTTATTTTACCTTTTCTAATCGAAGAGTATTCAGTAACTGTCCGTCAATTATTAACTATACACATTTTATACTTCTACCCCAGAAACCACTTGCTAAATTTAATCAAATTCTCCACAAAGCATACTGCGTAAAGAAGATACAAATTATTGGTTTCTGTGAAGGGCAACGTCCATTTTCAATTGGAGAAATTGAAAATGGGTGGTGTGGTATCTTTAAATCTTCTTCTTAACAACCAAACCCCTTCAGCCCAATGAGTAGGTTCGCAATTTGGAATCAAAATTTTGCCAAAAATCGCGGAAAGCATTGTGCACTGAAGATTTAATGTTTGGGACCTAAGTACACGGAAGTCTAAACTGAAACACGTTGAAACAGACAACGATAACTAAGGTTATCGAACTTTGATGCATCTTCATCTCTGTTCGTCAATAGAAAGAAATTAAGTTGTCATAAATCTGAGATGACACGCAATAAAAATTTGACACGTGCAGTCGTCAGGAGTGAAAATTAACATTAATCAAAAGAAAAAAAAAGATATGTGTTTTTTGATCATATGGGTGGTGAATGCTTTCGAAGTCCTTGAAAACAAGGTAGTTTCAATAATCATAGAGGACCAAATATGACGTCTAAAATTTTGCATATTCAGCAATATTTAAGTATCTAGGAGTTACTAATCTTTGGTACCAAAATAAAACGGATTAATATGACGTACATGTACTGATTGTTGTTTCAAATCTACTGTAAATTCTCCCGAAACGAATTCTTCCAAACGAAATGTTGTAGGCAGAAATTGAAATGAATTTATTTGAATTTTTTAGCGAGGATTCAATTTTTAGCGAGGTTGAAATCACTGAAATAGATAATCGCTAACAATTCATCTACATATAGTTTATTACCCTTATCTTTCTATGTATCATAGAATCGCTATTTTATTACTTCTCATTAAAATACATGTAGAACGTAGTACACTCGTTGCCACTTTTTAGGAAAAATAGCCAAATTTGCAATTTGCTTAAATGTTCCATTTACACGGTAATATATTTTGCATTGAAGGGAAATTTGAATGATATTGTAGACAAATTTTAGTAGTAATTTACAAGTGAAAACATGTTGGTTCGAATTTGCAATGAGATGAACATAAAATTGTTCTGTTTAAAGTTTGTATACATAAGATTTAGATACTGTAACACGGCAATTTATTGATGCTTTGATTATGATTGTTATGCTTGCATTTATTTATATGCAAGGGCGATATTTTTTAATGAAAGGTAGTAGGGATGTCAAATCGGTCAATTTTTGATACTCGGTTACTCGGACGTTTTTCCGATCGAGTACCCGGGTACTCGGTAAAAGTGTAAATAAATATGAACAAGTTAATTGATAACTGTAAAACATTGTAAACTCTTGTAGAAATAAAACCGATGGGAGGTTACCTGCAAATGCGTTGTAACAATTATGACCACTTTGTAACGGACGAAATTTAATCTAACATTTTTTAAAGTTCAATTTATTTATCAGATAAATACGAGAAATAAAATCAGAAATGGTTCACAGTGTTTTTGTTTAAAAAATAACCTGTCCGTAATTGTAATGTAACTCTTTGGTGCGTTTGATGTCTAAGTGATAAGTTGTCTGAGCTATATGTACGGTATAAACTTGATCAAGTTATCCTATAACAGAGCGGATTTATACGATCGATCTTCGAACACTTTTTGATCATAGATTTCATAGAATTACGATACGGTATGTTGTAGTTTAGAGCAACGATGGACATAAGATTTTTAAAGCATTTGCATTAATTGGCATGTAATCAAATGCATCCAAATCAACAATCGCACGTGCAATATCGTCTGTCTCTTTCCCGAGAATTTACGGCTTCTTGGAGAATTGACAAAATTATTTAATTTGTTTAAATATAATGGACCTTAAACGATGTTCAATGAAAACAAATAATTAAAGCAAACTAAATATAAGGGAAGACGACAGTCGAAGGTGAGAAAAGCCCAGGTAGGTACATCAGGTGTTTCGTCACGATAATTACTGTATAAACACTGCCACAGGCGATAACGGTCATTTAGAGCTCTGAGGCATAGGAAACCCTAATTACTGTATGTACAAGTGCAATGAATATTTTACGTTTTAAAACCGATGTTTTAATGCATTAATAAATAAGCTTAGAAATATTTAAAAATATACATCCGAGTAACCGAGTACCGATTTTAGTATTCGATACTCGGACGTTCGATCGAGTACCCGGTTAACCGGGTACTCGTTGACATCCCTAAAAGGTAGTGATTTGAGTAAAAATAATATTCCATCACATAATGAAAATAACCATTTATTTGATGTAATAATTGAACTTAATCATATTTTTACATATGTTTACATGTAAACACTAAAATAATAATAAATGCAGAAAAAAGTGAAAGACAATATATAAGTGCGAATACATAAATAATTCCCAATAAATTTTTACTACAGTCATTATAAATAATCATTCAGAATTTAAAGCATTTTTACACAGGTATGGCAAAATGTTTCTTTTAATGCATTTGGGGATACATTTTAAGTTAAAACAAGAGGCCCAAGGGCCACATCGCTCACCTGAGCACATCTACTAGGAAAAAGCACATATCAGATAAAAACTGAAAGTTTACTGGGGGGGGGGGGGCTTGAATTTTAACCCTCCTGGGTGTCATGATTTGAACAATGTACAATCTACACTACCTGAGGATGATTCCATATAAATAGAAAAATATCACTAATCATGGCTTTGAAGTACTTGAAAAGAAGATTTTGAAAGGTTTCCCTATATATCCTTATGTACAACTTTGGTCAGCCATTTTGGGCCCAAAACTAGCCCCAGAGGTCATGATTTGAACAAGCTTGAATCTTCACAAACTGAGGATGATTCCACATAAGTTTCGTCTTTCCTGGCCCAAAGGTTCTTGAGAAGAAGATTTTTAAAGTTTTTCCTATATATTCCTATGTAAAACTTTGGTCAGCCATTTTGGCCCCATCCTAGCCCCGGGGGTCATGATTTAAACAAACTTGAATCTACAATACCTGAGGATGATTCCACATGAGTTTCATCTTTTCTGGCATAGTGGTTCTTGAGAAGAAGATTTTTAAAAAAATTTTCTTATATATTCCTATGTAAAACTTTGGTTGGCCATTTTGGCCCCACCCTAGCCCCAGGGGTCATGATTTGAACAAACTTGAATCTACACTACCTGAGGATAATTTCATTTAAGTTTCATATTTCCTTTCTCAATGATTCTTAAGAAGAAGATTTTTAAAAGATTTTTCTTATATATTCCTATGTAAAACTTTGGTTGGCCATTTTGGCCCCACCCTAGTCCCGGGGGGTCATGATTTGAACAAACTTGAATCTACACTACCTGAGGATGATTCCACATGAGTTTCATTTTTCCAATTCCAGTGGTTCTTGAGAAGAAGATTTTTAAAAGATTTTTCCTATATATACCTATGTAAAACTTTGGTCGGCCATTTTGGCCCCACCCTAGCCCCAGGGGTCATGATTTGAACAAACTTGAATCTACACTACCTGAGGATGATTCCACATGAGTTTCATCTTTCCTGGCCCAGTGGTTCTTGAGAAGAAGATTTTTTAAAAATGCTATTAATTTTTCACTAATTCATAATTATCTCCCCTTGGAAGAGGGCGTGGCCCTTCATTTGAACAATCTTGAATCCCCTTTACCCAGGGATACTTTGTGCCAAGTTTGGTTGAAATTGGCCCAGTGGTTCTTGAGAAGAAGATGAAAATGTGAAAAGTTTACGACAACGACAACGCCAACAACGCCAACGACAACGACAGACGACGGACACATTTTGATCAGAAAAGCTCACTTGAGCCTTCGGCTCAATTGAGCTAAAAATGTTTTATGCAATTGACCAAAATTAATGACCTAATGTAACCCCCAAATGCACATGTACGCACATATACATACATGTATTTTTTAACAACTGTGAACAAGTCAGTTGCATTGCATTTTAAAAGATTATTTAATGTGTTTACTTAGTAATAAAAAAATCATATTCAAATTTTGTTGAAGTACAGTGTACTTCTTTAATTTGAGAAAAAAGTTTAATAAATGCTCGAAAAACTACGTATCATCAGTTTTGTTAAATATTTTCAGATTTGGCACTTCGATAAAATATATATGGCACTACTTTAACTAACAATATGCATGACATGCTTGCCAGATTGCACCAGTTCTTTGGATATTCTAATAAAAAGGTGAAAAAATATACAATGACTTCATAATTACTGAAAAAAAAAAATTGGGCGAAAACTAATTGTATACAGCATTAATGACTAGGTACAAATTCATAAAATAAATCATCAAACTACTTTTAAGCTAAAGAGAAAAACTCTCGTACAATATATAGTTATTAAACTGGCAAAATTTTGAGATTAAAAGTTTTCAAAGTGGTGTTCGAACAGCGCTCTTGTACTATTGCTGGCCTCAATACAACCCCGCTCTACGCTCTTTGTTATTCCTGGTGGTCCACAACTGAACACACCAATCTTTTTCACCTGTAAAGAAGACAAGCCCCAAAACAGATTAAAAATAACCTTAAATGGTTTGGCAAATCGATGACGTCTGTAGATGGATTTAGAGTTAATTAAAATCTTGTTATGCAAGAGTACATAATTAGATTCTTCACGCTAAAATAATTATCGTTTACATTTCGCAGGCAATTGTGACAATGTAAAGTATAATGTTCTTACCGTCGGATGAGCTCTATGCACAGCATTAAACATACTATTGAGCTGAGGTCTTCCGAAGTGGGTGTTTGCTTTAAGTCCGGTGAAAACACTGCGTCCACCAGAGAGCTTTTGGAAATGCTCCTCACATATATACTAAAATAGGCAAAAATTAGTTTTATAGTGGTAGCAATAACTTTACTAAAATTGTCTACGACAAAATCAAATGCAACTTTTGACAAGTTATCTTGCTGTTTTATATAGTTGCTTTGAATAATTACATCTTAATAATGATGTTTAAATTGCAAATACTAGTCTATATTCAGACTTAAAATTCTTTTGCGTCTTGTCTTTATCTAATAGCAGTCCGACTGACTTCCATCTAAGTATTTGAGATATTCTCCCAAATACAGAAGAAACTCGGGTTGTTGTGTTGAATTGGTTCAATCATTGCTTCTGAACCAGGCACATACCAGCATAGCTGTTCTCATGTCGAATTGTTGGAAGAATTGTGTGATGAAAATGTCCACAGATACTAGGCCTTTCTCGTCAACATCTTCTACTTCCCTAATGATGTCCAATAACCATTCAAAGTGACGCTGACTTCCAGTCACCCAAATAAAGTACAACTAAAGAGCAATATTGAATAGGCATAATCTCTATAAAATATTTCTGATAAGTTTTGAAGCTACACGTTATTGAAGTTGTACAAAATTATATTTTTTTGATAAATTACCTTCTGGCATTTCATTTTAAACATGTTTTTGATGGAGGCCATGTGAACGAAGTCTTTAAGTATGGAGGCATAGGGTGTTACCCCAATTCCTGCCCCAACCAGAACAGACACTTCGTATTGGTACCAATCCTGTTGTCCGGCACCATACGGCCCATCTAAGTATATCTACAGTTCAAGTGATGACAAATGATAGAAAAGGCTCCTTACAATGTTTATATATATTCACAAAAATCCTATGAATTCAAAAAGAAAGTTCTATATCTAAGGCGGGTCAGTTTTAGTGCTCTGCATTTTACACCAAATATCTTGCAAAATGTGTAAAACTTGTATATATTCCATGAAAAGTAATACAGGATAAACTTAACAGTATAATTGATAGGCTTACATGAGGATAAGAACCGTCTCTGTGATTCTCGGGATCGAACTCCTGGCGGATGTTCCATGTCCAGGGACCAAGTGCCCGGATGTGGAGTGACAGTGTGTCTTCATGTGGAGCAGACGTCAATGTGAACGGATGGTATTCGTTCGCTCCGTGAGTCAGGCAGGCGATTCGAACCCATTGTCCAGATTGATAGTCAAAATTTGCGGGTCTCTTGAACTCGATGTGGGTTATGTCTAAAACAAGAAACCAGTAATATATTTCAATGGATTATATCTTCGTAGGTGTTTCTTATTATTTAAACAGCCAATGAAAATAATTTGTTATACTTAAAAAAATGTGTCTATATAAATCAATACTAATAAAAGCAACATTTCGAATGTTTAACTTGGTCATATAAAGATTCGATGTTTGACCGGGGAATGAGATGTTGGACTTCTTGATGAGATGTTGGACCGCTTACGTCACATAATGGGCGGGGTCAGCTAAATCTCATTTGCACTAGTTGGTATTCGACATACATGTGTGTCAGAAGAAATAAAATGGAATAAATAATAAAGGTACATTGTATACCAAAACTTTTATTGACTCAGTGTTCTCGGACAAAATGCGTTCTGTCGACCCCTCGAACCAAACTGTTTGTCTTCGGCCTAAAGATCTCTTGGGTCCGACAAAAGGCATATTACCCGAGAACCCAGTCAATAAATGTATATTATGTTAGCTGCTTATTAAAAAAGGTTTATGATATAACATGCAAATTAACTAACCTAATAATTTTGAATGCAGTTTCGTCTTTGGACACAATAAAATGCAAGTCATGTTAAACTTCTGTAATACATAGTATAACAATAAAATTTGCCTCAATTATACATCCGACATATTTTTGAATATTCTTACATAACCCGCAAGATGCAAACTGCTAATTATTTCTGGGAAAAACTTTCCTTCGTGCTGTTGAAGGTCAATTTAATAAAATCTAATGGAACTCGTGTTTTGAATACAATTTCCCCAATTTCCTTTTTTTTTGTTTGTTAAATTTTGAGCCACTGAATATTCAATGCCATAAGTTGTAACAGAACCTTGCTTCTTCTTTTTTTTGGACAATGCACATTTATTTCTGTATAAACCTGAATAATTTTTTAAAGAAGAAAGTAATTAGTTAAAGTGAAAGATTGATTCATTGGTAATGATTATAACTTACGTAATTAAGTTTAGATAAAAATCATTCGGCTTCTAAGAAATCTTTTGCACATTTTTTTTTAAAGTTTTGATTTGCATTTTATTAGGTAATACGAAACAAAATAATTGTCGTTTAAGTATTAAAATATGACAATTTACATACTTTCTCGTCGTAAAACACTAGCAAAAAGTTTCACTGTCGTCAATAATAAAAAAAACACCTACTCAGTATATTGTTTACACTTATGATAAATGAACAAAGAGAAGTGTATTTCCTGCATGTGTGCTGCATCTTATTCATCTTGACATTTTCCTAAATTATTGTTGCAATTTTTTTACCACAACAAAGAACTTCGTTAGGCCTAGATATGATGACACCCATCACTTTCTCTCGTTTTAGAAATTAAGATATGTACCTGAAGGTAACTTTTCTGCTCTGATCACAGCCAATTCGGTTTTCTTTCGGCTCATGCTTATCATTTTGTCTATGGTGAAGAGAATGGCTGGTCCAATGAAGTAAGCAAAGAACATTGGTTTTTGGACGATGGTAGAAGCCCCATGTAAAATGGTTAATATATACATAACCACAATTAGTTTGTGGGTCAACCAAAAGCCGTTGAAAATCAGACGTCTCGCCGTTTGGGTGGCATATACGTAGATTATGCAGATACATATAACTAAAAGCACGCCAGTAAAACCTAGAATATTAATTTGTATTATTGATGAGAAAATAATGCAGAAGGAGAAAAGTTTTGCAAGAATATCAAATTTTTTTTATTTTAGTATTAATGGCATCTTTGTCGAAATCTAATGGCAAACTAATTGAATGATTTATGTATCTTAGTGTTGTCTACGTGTTTACTGTTATTGAAATTAACTAGAAGCAAAAGTAGCATTTTGAAAAATGCAGACAAGCAGATAGGCTAAGCTCTTCTATTTTTTTTAAAAAAAGGAAGCCAAGGACAGACCTGTCATATTCCCGAAAAACCAAAAGTTAAAAGTAGGTTGAAACTCAGATCTGAAAAAAGTGAAAAGTATTAGTCTTTATGTACATGCTATTTTTTGTTGAAAAAAAGCTTTACGAGAAATACAGTTAAGGTAAGTCACTCCTGAAATTTGTTAAATCAAGGATTTTTTGAGAAGTATATTTTAGATAAGTACTCATAAAGTGTAACTCAAAATCGCAAAGAAAATAGGGGGTCAGTGTGCATCCTACTGATCTACGGTACATTTAAGTTGACCTTTTTGCACTTAATTTCATCTCTTTGGTTAATTACTTTAACCCTTATTATATTTGATCAGATGTAAGCATGGCAATAAATATAATCTTATTTTACGTAAAATAGTTTGAATAATATTTATCATTAAACAAATCTTGCAAATTAATGCGCGTAAATTATTGTGTGACCTTTTTGCACTAAAAAATAACATATTTGGGGTATTAAAAAACTTAATAGGCAATAAAAAATTTTCTTATATCAAACGTTTTACGATTTAAGTGCTGATCAGTCACAAGTATCGAGTAGTTTAAAATAATGAAAGAAAAAGGTGGGGTCAGTGATGTTAATTTTGAAATATTTGTCAAAATATGTGATTTTCAGGCAAAAAATGGTGTAAATTTGATCTTGACTTCTTTAATATATTTTCATTTTTTGGAAAAGTTTGTTGAGGCAAGGTGTAAAACTTAGTCTAAAAATATAAATTAAGACCTATATTAAATATTTTTAGCAATATCAAAACGGAAAATATTCTCCGAGTAAAAGTATGTGAGGTTAAATTTCCATTACATTAAATTTTATAAATGTGCAGATTTGCAGAATTTCTGCTAAATATCCTTCCACCAAAAGAAATAGTCCCTCATAAATCTTGCTTCTTTGTAGATTTTTGGGCAGTTTTTTCATTGAATGTTAAAAAATTTTCATTGTTGAATTTAAATATGTTATAAAAATTGAATTTTAATAAGTAGTTTTGAAGTAAAAGCTTCTGCGTGAACTTTTCTAAAAAGCTGACGAGTGACTTACCTTAAGATATATTAATACAATAATAGATATAGACCTGGAAGGTATACATATGTTATTTTTACCTAAGTACTATTGAATCAAAGATGCATAGGTGTGATGTTGGTTGAGTTGCTAGATGATAAAAATTGAATCCGTAACCAATGATATGTAGACCTAAAAAGGACAAAGTGTAGTTAAAAAAATGATATTTAATTAATCATATGAAACTTCTGTTTAATTACTGGATTAAGTTTGTTTTGCATTTTTTTTTCAGAACTCAAAAGCTTACATGTAAAGAATAAAGCAGTCCAAGCAACCACTTTGTGGAAGGCAACATGGGAATCAAACGGGACATACAGATTTAGGAAGGTCCCTCGTAGCCAAGTGATAAGGTTGCGGCACATTGTCAGTAATAGAATAGAGAATGTGAAAGACATTGCCGCCGCTGCACCACGTGTAATTGAGATGCCGTAGCTCATGATCATGCGCAGTCCGCTGTGCTCCCGTTCTACCGTATAGTCTGAGAAAAAAGGAAGATATGATTATGTAATGAAAGATGCACAGAGTAAGTAATTTAAGTTATCCAAATTCAGGTTTTTCCTTATATCTATATAAATTTCATTTTTAGGATTATTAAATTTACTTTTTTTTCGTTTTGATAGCCAATAATTAAATTTGAAACAAATTTTGTTTAGATAATAATATGGTCATTTTAAATTCAAAATTATGGCATCCTTGTGAATGCTTTCATACAAATATTTTACTTGTTTAGGTTCAACAAGATCAACAATTGATTTCTTTTGACTTTATGTAAAAGAATTAAAAATGGACCCCCAAAACTTTTAATGAAAAACATACGGTAGAATCTCTCTGCAAAAAGTGCAAAAGTTGCCCCGAAAAAGATGACGAGAAAGAAGATGTGTTGTCTGTTGTTTTCTATGAAGTGCGTGAAAGTCTTCAATTTTGCCTTGGCCGGATGGTATTCTTCTCTGATGGCGATAAACCTGGTACGAACATCTGAACTTCTACGAGAATCGGTTGGTGTTCGATTGCCGTCTTCATCTGTTGCCTGAGATAATGAGGCCAGACTTCCCTTTCTTTTAATGATATCATGCGAGGCAGATGGACGACGACGACCATTTTCTGATCTGCAGAGGAGATACGGGATGTATACTAGTATGTTAAAGAAGAAGGACAGTGTCTTGTCAAGAAATAGTTGGTTTTTTTGTCTGTCATATTTTTGTGTAAGTACACGCTGTCATACTTTGATTATTTTAAATAGCTGTTAAGATTAGACTTTTGTGACATTTACAATTGAATAATATTCATGCGATTTAATAAAGGGACAATAGGAATGAAAAATAATTACCCTCTCTTCTTCTCATTGTTATTAGGTAAGCATTTTCGTCTTCCTATTCAAATAAATATGAAATGAAATCTTTGATAGTGCATATTGATTAAAAGATGCATTTTTAACTTTGTTTATCAGAAACCCCTAAATCTAGTGTGTATATTTTGCAATTACTTGTATAATTATTATTTCAGTAATTATTTAATACTCTTTTTTTTCATAGAATACAAGAAGACACACCTTTCCAATCTAACCCAGCATTCCACAATTTATCCATCTGTGGCGAAAGGATCTGACAGAAGTTTTCAAAATTTATTTCAGTGTGTTCTTCTAACCCGTGTTCTCTGCAGATAGACTCAATCAACGTTTTGACGGAGTCTTTGGTGAGGTTACTGTTTGCCATGTCTAGTAAAGAACTAAAAAACAAAATCATAAAAATTTAAAATTTGTTTTCATGAATTAATATCAGTCAAATGACTTTTATTAAAACTATTTTTTACAGAGCGAAGACGGAAGACGATTTATGCCTGGGTGAGTATTTTGTAATTTAGCCGTGTATAGAATATAAGAATTCTATTACTTTAAGAATGAAACGAGTCCATGAAATGGTTTATAATTAATTATAAAAGGTTGATTAACAATGTACCTGAACATTCGTGTTAGATCTGCTTTTTGTAGAATACCCCTTCCTTCTACGTCAAACATACCAAATATTGTTTGTAATTTTTCTTGGCAAGAGCCTGCAGTGAAAAACAAAAAGAAAATCAGGATTTCAAAGCGGCTTTGTTTTTCATTGAAATGACCTAATTTTAGCCTATTAGTTTTACAATTTTGCATAGCTGCGTTTTAAAGCTTCATTTTCTATAGAACATAACCGTAGAAATTTCATCTTATGCTTCGCTTTTTTGTTTACCGAGACAATAATTTTTTCCTACCTTTAGAAAAAATAACAACCATGTGTAAAAAGTCTCTGAAGGAGATATAACCATTTCTATCTGTATCTAGCATGGTAAACATGTTTTCGACAAACTCTGAATTAGGTTTCACGGCTAACGCTTGTGCAAATTCCTCCTGCAAAAAAAAGAAACATTTGTTTTCTTTTTATTTCTTTAAAGGTATTATTCAATATTTTATGGCAAACAGTTTTGTCTTGTCAAACAAACAAATGAAAAACAATAGAAAATCTCAAAAACATATAAAAGAATTAACATTTATATTTTTTTCAAAACATCAATATCATTTGATAGAAAAGGTTAATTTATTAAAAAAAAATAAACATGAATGGGGAATTTCATTGAACAGCAATACATCTTAGTAAACAGATCACCTTAGTTAATTCGGTCTCAAGAATTTCGTTTGTTTGCTGTCTCTCTAATTGATCATCTTCTAAATTTGGATCATAATCCATCTGAAATGCCTACAAATAGGAATAAAACATAAAAACTGAAATATCAAATGTGGGATTTTTGAAACAGGCTATTAAAATTGTTTACAAAGGAACTTTTTTGATTCATTAATAACCTTTTAAAGTCGCCCACCGAATGCAATTTATCTAATGAACATTCCATTATTCATTTACATTCTCTATTCAAATGCTAGACGAGTATTTTAGGGTTACGTTGTCGGAGCAATATTTAAGGAATCACTGTCTAGTTAGGAGGGTATGTCAGGGCATCAACAATAGTGGGAAACATGGGATAATTTGCATAACGGGCGAAGCCCGTTATGCTTAAAGTATCCCATGTTTCCCACTATTGTTGATGTCCCTGACATACCCTCCTAACTAGACAGTGATTCCTTATATTTCCATTTCATTGTGAAATAAAATTGTAGATTTAGACTTTAAAAATGTAGATAAATAGATTTAAATCACATGATGACTTCCATGCCAATTTCAATAGTCCTCGCCAACCGACGTCAAACACAAAGGCAGCCGCACGAGATTTACATGCATATTTGGCCTCCTTCGCGTCAGACAGAGAGACAGATGCGCACGAGAATTGCATGCGTACTAGGCCTCCTTAGCTCCCGACCTATCGACCTCTAATTTTCATTCTGGCAGAATTATCAAGAAATAAACTACCCCTAAGTTTCAAAGAGTTATCACAGAGAAAAAAAATAGAAATGGAAATATTATATTTTTATTTACAAACCACCATTAGATAGAGGATATTCAATGTTTTTAGTTGAATATGGAATTTATTTCACTCGTGAGACAGGATTTTTTAAAAAAATATTTTCACTCGTGCTTCGCACTTGTGAAAAAAAATCCTGTCCCACTCGTGAAATAAATTTTTTTCTTTTTCATATGTATAAATCATAAATATAAACCATAATTGATTGCTTCTACCGATGAGTGAAATTAATCACACCAAAGAGTGATAATGAAGATAAATGATGAATTAGAATTCAAAATATTGACAGTAAATTGAATTTGAAAAGTAGCTGATTCTGTTTTTCCGAGGATATTTGCTCATGCAGTCATGAAATGGTCGCACGATTAAAACCTATTCAGCCATTACTAACAAAATTTACGAGCAAGATTTGAAAGCAAGCGAAATGTCATCAAGTAAAATCAAATGTTAGGTCAAATTTGTTAATATACTTATTTCTGATATGTTTCTCTTCCACGATATTTCAGAAAACAAGAAATATATCTTTGGATGTTATTCATATGTCACATGTACATGTAAAGCAGCATTTGTGTTTTTTAAAAGAACTTTTTGTTCAAAATTCAGAATAGACAAAGCGAGAACTGAATGAGAAAAAAGTAATCATTTAGGCGATACGTAATTTTTTTTTTTTTTAACTTTATTTATTTATTTATTTATTTTTTTTTTTAGAGTTTTATGGTTTAGATATATACACACAAGTAATTGACTTGTCTGAAAAAAATTCAACTTTTTAAAAAGTTTTTTACCACGCGAGTTTCTCTATGTCAGCCAGTCAAACGAAAGTTTAATAAGTTACTCAATAAAACACCAATAATCCGTTATCGACAACTTAAATGTTTTGTTTAACTGCAATAAAACCTGTTTTACTGTACTCAGATAATTTTTGCTTGCTATGAATATTTCAAGAAATAAAAGTCTTACAAAGTTTTACAAATATACTGGTATATATAATAATAACTAACTAGATTGATTGAATATTTGTATTTTGTTTAACGTCCCTCTCGAGAATTTTTCACTCATATGGAGATGCCACCACTTGCCGGTGGAGAGTTCCAAATTTTGCCCTATACTCGGCACTCAGGACCATTGAGCAGGGAGGGATCTTTTTCGCGACACGGGACCTCAGTTTGTACGGTCTCATCCGAAAGGCCGGGATTCATTGTAAATGAATTAAATTCATTTTTAATGGATTCGTTGAAAATAGATTTTAAAAAGATTATTATGTTATAATGAACTTACGATTCGACAATAATTATTCATTTTCCACGGCATCTGGAGTATTTCTTATAGAAGTATTTTAATATGAAAATCCTTGTATTATTTAACAAATTTTGACAAAGTTCTAAACTAGTGAAAGGATGTTAATATCACGTACCTCTGAAAATACAGTTTTAAAAAACTTCTCGAGTCTTTGATTTCTTTTCTTTTGAGTAAATGCGCTTTTCAGAATATATTGCGCTCGTTCCTCAACGACGTTACATTGTATTTGATTGGATTCAAGTGCTCGAGTCACTTCATTTTCAAAAAGCTGACGATTAGTACTGTTGTTAAACTTCAGTACCTACAAATGAATTATAAACGTATATATTTTAACACTTTTTCAAAAAACAAAGAATAACTGCAATATGCACACGCACAAATAAAAATCATAAACTCATTTTAGATGCAGTTAACATGCTTAAAGTGTCCCTGGGTAAACAAAATTTTATAATGCATTGTTTGATATTAAACAATATGTTGTATATAATTTAATGAAAGTTGTGTGAACGACGGAAGTTTCAATTTCATAAAAAATGTATTCGGTACAAATGGATATTGTCAATAACACAGAGGAACACCAGGGACCTATTATATTTTGTGTACTGTCATAGAACTTTATAGAAGAATAGAACTTTGAATAACTATACCAGGTCGTATTCTTTTGGGACTTTAATAGATGTGTATGTTCTTCCTTTGTTGCTTGATGTCATCATATAAACCGACTCTTGGTTGAACAACTTAATTGTGCGCAATCTCCTTCCGGTAACACTATCAACCTCGATTTCACATCGAGGCTTGACTTTTATGACAACTGCTCTTTCATCCTCCTTCTCATCCAACCATTCGTATGCCATATACTTACTACTTTCACCTCCTTAAAGAAAAGCAAGAATTTCCAAAAAAGCTTATTCATTGATAATTAAGATTCATAGAATATAATTTACTTTTATATAATTTTTGCAATTAACTTCAAATATACTGATCTAATATAATTATCAAAAAGATAATGCTACACCTGTAAAACTACTTCTGCCTTCCGTTTTCATGATCTTAGTTTGCATTTTTCGTACAACTTTTTCATGCTTCCAATTCCTGCATTTTGCTGCAGCGTACGCTGATAAAATGCAAACTGAAATTCAAAATAATAGTTTTATGTAATTCAGTAGATCATAAATAAGATTAAGTAATCAAATTTCTTCTTAATTTGGTCATCTCTTTCTAACGATTTATTTTTTATAGAAATTTGTGAAAAACTTATGCTCACTAAATGGAATTATCCCAAAGCATGTCCACAAAATGATGAAGGACAATTCACTCCCCTTGAAGTAATTGTATCCATGATGATCTGGACAGGAAGGCAGCTGTTCCACACTAAGATACTCTGGACTGCACCCTGATACTGTGATATTTATAATATTTTTCATGCAACCAAGGAGGCCTTTTATTTTTCTTTGCTCTCTATAAACTCAATTCTTTCCTGTCTTACTAGAGAGTTTAAGATTAAGTTTCCCCGTTTTGTTTGAATGACTTACGATTATACAGGGCAAATGCATCCTTAGGAACATGTTCATGCTCTAGGGTTCTTGTAGATAGCAATATGTCAGAAAATTTAATATTTTTTATTTCTTCTATCTCCTCATCAGTAAATATTCTGAAAAACGAAATTAGTTTTCCAATTTCTAAAGCATTCAATAAAATTTATCTCAGGACAAAAATTGTGAGAAAGATATTATTAACAGATATCTTTTGTCGTATGGCAACTTACTTTGATTTGGTATTCTCAAACCAAAACCAGTCCCCGTGGCGAATGTTATAGAATTGGTTCTTTATGATGGTTGTAAAAAGTTCACCAGGTCCATCATTAGTTTCCAGCATCCCACCAACAAAAACGTCAAGTTTGCTTATATCACCATAGAGTTGACGGGTTTTATTAAACAACTAAATTGAAATAACTCACATTTTATAAGACGTTTTCACAGTGTATATTTATGATTAGTGGATAAATTTCCAATTTCAATTGATGGAACATTGTTAATTTAAAGTCGAATATTCAAGACTTTACCAATAGATTTTCCCTCGCTAAATTTGGATTTATGTCTTCAAATGTTCTAATTGGACGAAGTCCTACAGCTTCTCTTACAGTGTTGTAATCTGGAAGCCCGTAATCCCGCCCTTTCATAATGGTAAAGGACACGTGATCTTGGCGTGAGTAGTGTAAAGGTCCAAAGTATTTATCTTTTTTAATAAAGAGAAATAACAATTACCGAGTACCTTAAAGGAAAGTTATGAGATTAAGTCTACACTTCTCGTATCTATTGTGCATTAAATGTTGAACTTAATCGTATTGAAACAGGTTTTATTATGTATAGTTATATAAACAAATTTACTACATTATAAGATTTTAAAATTAATTTGGAAAAAGAAAGGACAATAAACTTTAACGTTATACAGGACAAACTATATTAATTTACCTAGTATATCAGGAACTATTTTCATGTCTTCTTTTTCAGCCGCTTGAAAAAGCAATCCGCGCATGACGTCTTCAAAAGCATGTTCGTGGTTGGTCAACACACCCTGCAGTCATTCAAACATGCAAAAACACAAGTAAGTTTATGTTTACATATTTTCCAAGGAAACGTTACTATTTTGTAACTTTAAATGTTATTTAAAGCTTTCTTCGAATATTTGAAACATGTGAAATGACCTAATAAATAGGAGTTTGACCTGGTGCATGACCTTAGAGAAATTTACCTGAGAATCAAAATAAGAGGTACACAGTCGAACTTTGTTCTTCGTGGTACATCTATCATCTCTAAATTCAAATGTTGATGAATCGATTTAAGATCAAACAAATGTAAACAAGAAATTATCATGTCAACAATATTTTTTTGATTATAAATAATGGAATTGATAAACATTTCATAGAAATGTTGATCTTTTCTTTCATTACAAGTATCTAGAAATCAATTTACATGTGTGTTGTCATATATGTTCTTTTCAACAACGGACCTGATAAACTAGGAGAAAAATACTTACAGAACTCGAATGCCCATAGGTATGAGCGTAAGGATGTAGCGAATTGCAGCTGCATCAAACACTGCTGTTATTCCTGGCTCTAAGTTGCCCTTGTATCCTTCGTAGGGAGGAACTTTCGTATTAAGAAGGTTGGGTAGCCACTCGTACATTATAATATTCTGTTTTGAGAAAAATACAATTGAGATTGAATTATCACAGTCTTTAAATGCCCAAATGTTAAAAATATGTAAAAATATAGAAGACATTCACAATATCATAATACAAAATTGTAAACAAACTTTCTTTACTATTCAATTCTTTTTTCTTACAGAATTTATGTTTTCCATGAAGATTAATCTAACCTGTAATGAAGCAGTCACCCGTTGGCGGGCTTTGTAGAAAATATCTACAGCAGATGTGATATTGGCATTTTGGCGCGTTATCCTCTCTACCATTTTATTGTGATATCGGAAAAAGAGAACTCCAAAGGATAACAGAGCAGGATTCTCATATACATGCTCGTCACCAAATCCTTTAATATTGAAACGAAAACTATTTGAATCCTGTCCATTACTTTTATTAGTATGTATACTAGATAGAGTCTGTAAGATAATGACATCATCTTAAGAAAAACATTTATGGTACATGTTCTTACAATACTAAGTATGAAAAGGTTCTAATACATGTATGGGCATCATGAAAAAAGATTACTTAATGCTATAATACATCTACCACTGAATGTAAGACAGATCATTATATTTATATTTGTACCTTTATCATAGAGGAAAACTCCAATGACAATTCAAAAATAAGTAAATTTGTCTCCAAGCTGGTATATTTATAAAACGAAGTTGAATTCTTCAGAAAACAAAATAGGGGCCTAGCATTTTAAAGTCAAGATTTGATTTGGATTTTTTTTTTCTCAAGAATTCAATTTTAATTTAAAAACAAAAAAATGATACATGAATAAAAGAAAAAAACAACAACAAAAAGAGGTAGCAATCATATATGTGTACAAAAATATAAAATATATCATCGTTTATGAAGGTTTATTAATTTTATATACTAGTTAAGTTATAGGTATGTGATACAGTCCAAAAGTCGTCCCTTAAGTATGAAGTTTGAAAAAAGACTCAGTCTTGCATATATTGTTGGATTAGTGATTAATTCTCAAACTGCAAACAAAGCATTTTGCATCCACACTAAAGGTGCAACAAAACCTTCAATTTATCTCTTTTGCAGACAATTAATAGGGACCAGCCTGGTGATAGAAAAGGTATTTGACTTCATGATGCTAACGATCACGTATTCAGCACGGTAATGGATTGTAGCACGACATTTAGAGGTATATCTTGGTTAAATTACAAGACCTGTGCAACAGCTATCCGAAAATGACTCACTTCATGCAAAGCTGAAAGACAAAAAAGTTGTTGACTTACTCCATAATGTCTCTGGATTTGTGATTTTGTTATCTTTGTCAGGAAGCGAGAGGAACGGAAGTCTGACTGTATTCAGATCTGGAAACTTCTCCCATAAGTCCAACGACGCTAGTTTTCCGGTACCTGGATGTCTGAGGAAACTAGCTCGCACGCTGCTTGTTCCGTATACAAAACTAGCATCTATGTAACTACTGGCCGCATTAATCTGAAAACGATTCAAATTTCTTTTGTACTAGAATGTAACTTAAGAGGCACTGTTCTCTAATTCCCCACTTTTCAAAACTATACCAGCAATATGAATTATGTAAACAATATAAACTATACCAACACTTTAGTAAACTAGATTTTTTATTTGATGTGCATTGGCATAGAAAGCCAATTTTCATATTATATTTTGCTTTATAAATATGAAGCACTAATTTAAACTTTTTTGTCATTTATACCTGTCTTCTAGGGTTATTCGGAGATTGACCAGTGTCCGTATTGTATTTTATTCTTTCATATGGCATGACGCCATTTCCTGTGCATTCGCTATCGAAAGCTTCATCACATTTTGGAACAGGTATTGTGAGAAGTTCAGCCGGACAGGAAGCTTGATCACTGTCAACGATCTCATACGTCACAACCTGACCTATTTCAGAAGAAATTTGAAGTTCAATTTAAATATGATTTAGTGTATATTATACATATTACAGTAAAGTACTAGCATTGGTTGGTAGTAATTTTCATCATCGCATTATGTATCCATTTCACATTTTTTATTTACTTTTAAAAAATGATTGCAAGATGTAAAAGTCATGCATCCTGCATACTGATAAGTGAAATTATCATTTTCATGATTATCTTAATTGCATGTTTTTCAGGATGGATATGGTCTTTAAAAAAGATGATGAGATACTTGCAATATAAACATGGAGCATTTAGGAGGCATAATGATGCTTTCCTTAGTACTTTACAGGAAATTTACATTCATTTGAATTACTAAGTACTTCAACAAACTATTCCATTCTTTAATTCGTTATTTTTTAAATACAGCAAAGATTAAATAAAATACTGAAAATGTCAATGTGCAAAGTTATAATTCTCCAAATGTCAAAGCTATTTTATCATAAAATTCATATAATAAGCCTGGAGAATTCATGTAATGTCAATTGATGATTCTGTAAAGAAAAGTATAAATATAAGCCACAAAAAGAATTAAATAAAATGTCAGAATGGTTTGCAAACTAAATTAACTTTTGGATTTTACAGAGATTGAATGTCTTTTGTATGTTTCCTTGCAGAATCAAAATTATCGTTTGCATAATTGAATTTCAACAGAAAAGAAAAAAAGGACATTGAATTAGATAGAGGAGACAATAAGATAAACCAGCTAAAAGTTCTTTCCACCGATAATATACTAATATGTGTCGGTTTTTGTTTTTTATGTAATAAAAATAACTGTTTTTAATTTTTTTTCATGTATGAAAGTTTTGAAAAGAAGAACCAACCAAAGAAGGCAAAAAGGGCATTTCTGTTGGAATGTCCTGTGCTATTGTCAATGTCCTGTCGAAAGAGGAGGTTGCTGACATCTCTGGCGCTGGGCAAATCATCCAGGCGTGGTATGTAGGTCAGGTCGACGTAAGCAGACGTTATATTATGAATAAGAGATTCGCCTAAAATAATGATATTCAAGTACATGTTTTCATAGAATTTAAATGATGTATTTAAATGATATTTAAATATAAATAATGTTTAAATGATTAAGTATCTTGAATCCGATCGTAATGATAAGTTAAATATTTGTATTTTCTCACTTCATTTATTATATTGACCTCACCTGCGCTACCCCAGTTGGGATAAGCCAGATTGTTGTACCATCCATCAAATCTTTGAACTTTATGTGACGCAACGAGGAAGAAAACTGAAAGAGAAGCTTCGGCTATAAATGAGATACTCATCTTTAGTTTTCATTTATTTGCTTTTTTAATTCCTTTTTAAATTATTTAATTTACTTATTTCTAAAAAAAGTTTCGTTAAAAGCAATATGTTTGTAAAGCCCTATTTTACTGGAAGTTGTCAAAAAATATTATGCTTTCTTCAAAATCAAAGCAACAGTTAATATCTTTTTTGAAGAACGCATTCTTCAATTTCCAAAGGGGACAGAAATTTGAAACTGTATATTATGCAAATTATAACCTTTATAGCACACACTGATGTGGTTGCTTATAATTTATTTATGAAACAAAAAAGTTTCAATTAACGTGATTCTTGAAACTATGCAGAGCGCAAGAATCTTTGCTAATTACAAAAAACGAAGTTATAATTGCATACAACCTATATAAAATAGATCATGCATATAAAAAAAAAATCATATTTTGTAAGGCTAAAACTTACACAGATTTTTGGATGCATTTTATTTGCAAATTAAATTGAAATATTTTCACTTAACTGTTAATTGTAGCTTAAAAGGATTGTTTAGGTATTTTTTTATTGTTCTAAATCTAGTTTAGTAATGTAAAGTTAAATAAATGGAGAAACTGAAGTTATATTTTGTTCAATGCAATAAAATGTTTTTTGTATACACTTATACAGATGCATTGACTTTAAATAACTCAAAATATTTTTCTTGATTAATTCAAAGTTTTTATTTAAATCATCTTAAAGAAAAGAAAGTGTTCAAACTTTCAAAAATTTTTCCGACGGTAGAATTTACTAGCTTAGATTCTTAACTTTACCTCCTAAAACATCAAACTGGTTACCCTACCAAAAAACTTAACTATTGTAAATGTCAAAACTTAAGGCAAATTGGATGCAAAAATTGCTTCTTTTGCACCATTTTAAAAGGGTTTAGAGGTCATTTCCATGTAAACGTCATCAAGTCCTTAAGTGCTCGAGCCCTCCCGTTAGACACAAGCCTCAAAGTCTTTACAAATTAGCAGGAACCTTTCCCACCCTAAGAGTAAACGTTTGTTATGTAAACAGGGCCGGTGCGTCCTCCCAAAGTACAAGAGATCCCTGATTGATACCATGCTAGATATTAACATTTGAAGCCTTCATTTTATGTAAAATTAAATATATGTCGTCCTGCTTTGCTTTAAGTATAGTGTATATACCGGTAACTGATTGAGTATATCTTCTGTACTATCTCTTCTGGAAAACTATTAACCGTTTACTACCAGACCAGACCTCATAGCATTTAACGAAGTATTTATTTCAAGAACAAAGATTTTTTAAAAAATTATATAAGGCAGTGTTGTATATTAACTATAATAAAAAAAACCAATGAAATGAAGACTTATATTCTATATAGCTTTCTTTTATGAAATCGCAAAATAATAATCACGATATGGAATATTCATGTGTATTGTAATATAATTGAACTCCAAAAGAATGTACACTTTTCCTACTGTTTTCATATCAGTCCTATAAAGAGGATACTTTAATTGAAAATGTTAACATAACTTAAAATATAAAGGTACATGAATCTTAAATTTAGTTATTTAAGGTATACTTGAAAAAATGGAAGTATTCTTACCATGATATAAAAAGATATTGTTAATGAATAAAGATTTCATTCTTCGTCCATGAACCTGAAACAAAAAAGAAACTCTAAACATTATCTTGTTCATAATTAACCAATACATATGCATATCTAAATTATATATTGAAAATGTTCAGATTTTTTGAAAGGCAACATTATAATCTGTAATTAATCTATTCACAAGAAAAGGTTCAGCTTTCTAAAGTTTAAATTAAATAAAAGAACTAAACTGAATCGAGAAGCATTCAAAAACTTCGTTTGATATGAGTTATTACATGTAATAATTACAAATTTGTGCAGAATCTGCACATAATGACACATTGCGAATCTTAGCCTCAAAATTATTGAACAAAAGTAAAGAAAATTACATAGATATTAGTTAACACATTAGCTTCAAACTTTAATTCAGTACAAAAGGCAGTGCAGGGGATCATCAATGGTGACACATATTGACAAGCAGATTCAATGTTGTCGGAAATGTCTACACTTGTTTCTTTATTTAACGATATAATTAAAATCACGACAGAGAGACGTGATATAATGCAACAGTCGCAGGTGAAGAACATGTAATAGTTTCTCACGTTCATTTTAAGATAATTTTGATATAACGGCATTTTATCTCATTCTTTTTGTTAAAAATCTTATCTGGATTTAGAATTCCTCACTATATAAAACCCTTTTTTAACCTTATAATATCTTATCTAGTAAATATCAGTGCTCATCTTAACATTTAAGTAATATAAAACTCAAAAACTACAAGAATATAAATTAAGCTGTATAAGAACCAATTCTTACGAACTTTGTAAAAAGAATATCAATGTCTACCTTTTATAAGCTGATAAATTCTTATCTTTTTTAATACAATTTTTAATCTTAATAATCTTAATACGACTGTGCAACGAGACAAATACAAAAGATAAAAATAGCAATAAAACAATCACTGCTTACCTGTAAATGTCGTCTGCCCTTACTTGGCGGTATTTTCACTATTTCATCAATACCACAACATCCGGGCCTCCATTTGAAAATCAGACAACAAATTAAACCGACTGCTCAATAACTGCGATCTTTCTATAAAAGAAAATCCTAATACATTTAAGAAAATCCGATTGGGAAAATAGGATTGGAACCATGCGTAGCCGAATTATGAAGTGTTATGACTTGTGCTTCCATGCGGAACAAATTTCACCTGTCAAGGGTTTTTCTAATGGGGAATCCTCTATGTGACTGGATCACATCAGAGGTCAAATTTTGCGTTCAATATTTACGAAGTAATTGTGATCGTAATTACGATAGAAAAATTAAACTTTGCATTTTTACATAGAAAACATAGAAAGTTAGAAAAATGTCTCATAAAAATTATATAATTGGGTGTACTTCTCCGATTTTACCCATGCAATAAAAAAAATATTGCAAGGATTTTACGGTAAAAAATCTATGATATATATTATACATCTTTTTATTGAGCTAATCAGTAATGTGAATAAAAGTGCAAAAAAAAACATCTTAAATATATGCAAATAATGCACACTTCCAATATTTTATTGTCGAAACATCAGCAAAAATACATTACAATCTGCAATGATTTCAGCTAAATGTAAAATTGACCTTGGTAATTTTCAAGAAATATTCAACTTTATGTACCTAATTGACATTTTGTTATCTTGAACTTTATATCAGCACTTCCTGGAATGATTAGTACTTTTCTTCTTCCTTTCTATCCATTATATTTCCCAATTTCATTTTTTTTTTCAAAATTTTAAGGGTTTATATTAAAATATAAATTATACATTCAATGCATGTTTCATGTAAAATAATAATTATGTTAGAAATTAATGAAGGGTGATTATAATAACACTTTATTCAAATATTGGATAAAAGGGGAATAAAAAATTGGAAATTCATTTAATATTTTTTTTACAAACAAGGAAACAAAGAAGAGCATAAATTTTAAATTCCATGATATTAATTTTTTGACACGACACACTTGAAGTGTGGTACGATCACACCTTGACCAAAAATAATAATAGGTTGGCTAGGTCATGCACATCATTGGGAGTAACTGCTTTTCGCATCTGCCATGATGAATTATTTAAAAATTCTTTGATTAGATTTAGGGAAAATTATAACCCGTTTTAGATACACAAGTTGCATATATTGACATTAAATGGGATTGATTGATTACAGAATGATTTATATAGGCATATTTATTTGCTTTATTTTTCACTAATAATGTGTCTCTTAATTAATTCAAAAATGATCATTTTCATCCTGTGCATCGTTTTTTTAATAAATTGTCTGAATTTTTCACAAATTAGATTGATATTTTATAAAAATAATTAATCAACAACAGGGTAACAAAATGAAGGTACTTAATAAATAGGAACCAGTCGTTTATGCCAATATTAAAATCTGGTGTATTTAATGGTTGATACACATATTACTCATAATGCTTGGAACCGTCTTACTTGCAAATATAGGTTTTGGGTCACCTACATTGTATAATTATTTATAACTCGTCATTGATCATTATTAGTTTAAAAATTGGCTTTGCTTGCATACGTCTCTCCGATATAAATGTAGAATTTTTAAAAATAAGAACTGACAAGCCTGAAAAAATATTACCAAAAAAAAAAAAAATATTAAATAAAAAGTATATTTTAGTAAACTTGGATTTAATTAGGTCACTGCTATCTGATGATGAGAAAATCCCAGCTAGCTACATGTGAAAACTCTATTCACAGGTGTTCACATTCAGAAAATTATAATGGACATTTACGGGAAAAGAAGCTCTGGCAATTCGAGCGAAAGATGTTCCCCGATATGCTTAGCTGCATATAACATTTTCCATGAAATGCGCAACCCTAACCCTATCTCTAAAATGTGCAAAAAACGGGGTAATAAGGTTACGAAATCAGTATATATGTTAATTTTTTTCTTTAAATTTTACTTAAAATGCAAATAAACAGATTTGCAAAGAATCAGATTTTCTTTCCAATCATCTAATTAAAATATTTATTTTTTTAATTAACAGGGAAACACATTATCTAAAAGGTATATTTTAATTTATCAGTGTGCACAAACAATTTTTTGGCATATCAACTAGATTTAATGTTTATATATAGAAAATAAGATATTGCTAAACAAATCATGTTTTATTTCATCTCATTTCTAAGAACAAATGTCTCAGTTCTGTGCCCCTTAGCTTTAAACGACATAAATCTTAAGGACACAGAATGGGCCTTTTTACTATGGTCAAAGACCAATAGCTTGATTCCGAGAAAAATATTTTTGTGTTGTTTTATTTTTCTACGAAGTTCCCTACTCAATGCAAAAGTAGGCACAAGAGTAATCACTAAAAACTTATGTTTGATATTCTCTACTTAAATCCAGTAAAAGCTTGAAACTTTGAAACTTTGCTATTGCAAACAATACAATTGCACAGGTCACTTCAAGTCACTTCAAACTGACTCATATTTAATACAATATTGGAATCAGAGTACATAAGTGTAGTTGAAATTTGAAAAGAGAACATCTTTTTTGTTTTAATTTTGAATTCGATTAAAATTTCCAGAAATTTTTCAATTTTCATTTCAGTAGCAGAGACATCTAAACCACCGCAACCATAAGGGAGCCATGATCAACATTCTTCAGTTAAAAACTTTAAAAAGAATATTCCACCTTAATATTTCCATGATAACTGTTAAAATGTTCGTAAACTGATTTTTTGGACAGAAATCAGTGTTATTTAATATAAGACACAACCGTTTGAGGATCTAATAAAATTGATTTGACACTAACAAAGAAAAAAAATTAGATATCCATTTGTCGTTGAGATAAAATGTAAGAAATCCGCGAAACCCTCTGTGGACCAAATTTAAGGTGGACAGTATGCCTGACCCATCGCTTATTCTTTAGGGTGACAAAAATAGAAAATTCATAAGATTATCTTTTCTAGTAGAACTCCATTCTCATTGATGCTAGATATGCCGGAGAGGACTACGCTTTCGTTCAGAAGCACTAAAGATTGTCATTGTTGACCTTTTCTGTGGATATAAACCACAGCTATCAGGAATGTTCTTTTGTCGATAAACTTGGATAAAATATTGGTTAAAGTGACAGCAATGCCACCCACTATATTCAAACATCCGAATTCTCTCGTCAGATCACAGTGTTTACAAACAAAATGGCTTGTCTTTTTAGCATATTCCAGAAAGCGTTACATTTAATCAATGTTGTTTTTGTTTATACGATGTTTTACAAAGTCCAAATGAACAAACAATTTTAAATCTATTTTTCTTATCAGTTTTGTGCGCAACTTGAAAATATTTGATATATGAAAAATTCCCTCACGAACATATGGACTAGGTTTTTCTTTTTTATTCTGGTTCTGAAATTTGACTTAAATTGTATTTTACTGTGAAAAACATTAACTTCATGTTAATGTTTTTCACAGTTATATATATGCTATTTTTTAGGATATATTTTCTTTCCTTTTATTTTCTTCGAATTCGGAAGATTGATTCATAGATAAAAATGATTCTAAAAAATCCCTTAATAATGTGAAAAGAATATTTGATATTTTTGGATTATACAAACACTTATTTCACAAATGGAAACATTGAGGTTTTTTCATCTTTATTCTTCAAAATGTTTCATTTTTTCGGTTTAAGGAGTTTAATTAATAATAAAAAATACAAACTACGACACCGAACATGATGATTATGAATAAAATAGACATTAAAATTCATTGCATACAATTTCAATGATTTTCGAGGAAAAATATCTGCATACTAGTGAATTAAAATAAAGTTAACAAATAAAAAAGGATACAATATATCTGACACACTTTGTACTTTGACCACGACGACTAAGAACAGCAAAGAATTTTCAAATACTGTAAAATCATACATTTTCGTGGAGTAAAATTTTCGTAATTTAGGGAAAAAAATGGGTTTTGGGGGATTTAATTTCGATGATGAAGAATTAATGAGTAGTAATATCAGTGCAAAATTACATTTCATTGTGGACATAAAAGGATCTTTTCATGCCTTGAAAACCACGAAAATTAAACCTCCACAAAACAGTATCCGAATAAACAATACTATTTGAGAGTAAAACAATTACCTAATTCAGAAAACTTCAGAAGTTGAATAATGTGTCATCGAGAAGTAAACATTCTCTATGGACAAACCACGGCAGACCTTAGGCGATTGTCTTGTTAGGGTACACGTACAAATTTGTCCTAAGTTCAATTTGAAACTAGAGGTACTGTGAGCACTGAGCTCACTAAATAACACCCACCGCCTCCTAAATGATTATAATGGCAAAGTACATGTTTTTATCTGGAGAACCCGAAATAAGTGTCAGATTAGGAAGTGAAATAGGAGGTGCATACTGGAATAATGAATCAAAGAATCTTTGAAAGTATCATTAAATTTTATTCAGTGGTAAAGGAGGAGTTGTTTTATTTTACAAGTAAGAAACAACCACACTTGTTTTACTTAATTTATTTTGCCATCGACATAGATTTTGATTCATTGAATTGGTGTTTTCTCACAAAACGATTTTAAATTATCCAAGAGTCATTGGAAATTTTCAATAATTTGTAACACATGTCATAAATTAATTGCGGTTCAGAAGGGCGGGGATATATTTATTAAGAATTTCCAAGTCAGTTTATTATATTTACAAAGATACATTTTCCCTTTATTTAAAATTTAACTTAGAATTTGATTTGGGACCGAGATGCATGAAAATTAAATATAAAATCTTTTTTGTACCATTTTATTTTGCACATCAATGTCGACATTCGATAACATTCAAAAATGTGGAAACCTAAGGCATATGCAACTGAAAAAGAAATAAAGAAAAAACTGGTTTGTACCCATAGATATTTAACATCAATGAAAATGTCGATACATCATAAGTTATTATATTGCAAACATGGAATCCCTAAGCCTGGCATACAAATTAAAGTGCGAATAAACAGAGAACAAATTATATTCGATTTCGAATTGAAACTTCTGAGACGATGTCAAATAGGAAGTTTTGTTACGGAGAAAACTAGT